ATTACATGCACTAAAGTTCTTAAGTTCTGCTCTTGCACGAGACACAATTTCGTCAACAAACATTGTAGTTAGTGCGCGAGACTGAGCTCCAGTGCATATCTCGGTGAATAGGAACAGTTTGTAACTTACTATGAAAACTACAAGATTAATTACAGTTCGTGTACTCGGAGATCACCGCAGTATTGAAATACACATTAAAACGGCATGCATAAAAGTGCTAACGCCAGAATTGCCTAAAAATAGGACTTCCATTTGCACAAAGACAATAAACTGCACGTGGCGTGCAGATACACGTCTACAATGCAAATGTTTATTTATTTATTTATTTATTTATTTATTTATTTATTTATTTATTTATTTATTTATTTATTTGGTGTGTTTGTAGAAACAATCCGTGGAAGATACAATCCATTGAATCTGTTTGGTCGGGCATCAAGGAACAGCTAAGTCGTTTTTCCATTTCTTAGAGATTTCCATCAAATGTCTTACCTCAAATTAAATAGTTTGTATTGTGGCGATGTATAACTTGGGCAAAAAATAATATTAAAATGAATCACTTTGAACACTCAGAAACAACCTCCTAACACATGTTTCAAATAACTCATAGCGAAACAATGAAATTATCAAATTAATATGACAATCAATTACATTATAAGCCTCACATTAAGGTTTGTTGTTTCGAACCTCAAACCTTCTATTGCATCTTCCCTATCTGCCTCCGTGTAAGAAGAATCAGCTGATGCTTGTGCTTAAGAGCAAAACAGAAATTAACAAATTATATAAAATTTATAGTATGAATTTTACACAATATTACAACTAAAACCATAGAAGATATGATATATATATTGATAACCATTCTCAGCTCTTGTCACAACAGGTACTCTTTCTCTCAGAGGCTTACTTTTACTTTGTAGAAGTTTGGGAGGATTTGGGACGTCAAAAAGCGTTTGGATAGCATTCCACTTCATAAGTTTCATGACAACAGCTCTGTTTTGCTCTGGGAATCTGCAAAGTGACGCTTAAAACAATAAGTACTTCAAATCAAAATGAAGCCAAGCAACAACACATCTTCGAATCTTATGTAAAAATTTTCTACAACTTATGTAGAAATTTTTACTCCATACAGCTGCTCCATTCAGTAGGCTGCCATTTATCACGTCTGCAATTTTGTATGCAGCCAGTTCTTCTGTTTTTGTCTGCAGGAAGCCGAAGTAGCTGACCAAGTTCCCTTCGATAAATGGCTCTTAGGCAGTTAGGAGCAACGCAATAACCATGGCACACACACACACACAAACAAATTATCTACGCACGCACCATTTGTATCACCTCAATACAAACCATTTACAAGAACCAACTCTACCAGACGCTTCGATTCCAGCTATCACACAGAATTGTGGGAGCGTGTGAAGAGGTATGTGTAGTGACCTTAAACAGATGTATTTGAAAACAATTATTTGTAATGAACTCAACACATCGCTTGTTTCGTCGGCAACAACAGCTAAACTAGTGGTGCTACAGAATGGCACAGAATGTCTCGTACTAGTTTTCTAATTTCATTAGTCTGGTTTGGTCTTGCCACATATTCTTTCCAGTTGCCAACTGTCGTCGCCCAAACTATTTTTGTTTTGTTTTACATTTTCTCAATTTTTGGTGTCATAAAGGAAGAACAGATATATTACTTCAAGAATATTAAAGAAGAGTAAAACCTCGTTCTGTATGGCAAGTTTCATTGAAAAATTAGAAGGCATTTATAAGAAAATGGCGTTTAAGCGCTACAGTAAACGCAAAATTTGAAGCCCATTTTCACAGAAAATTTATGAGTTTTCGAAAAACTTCATTTGAAATCATTTCAAGCACTTCCATTCACAAATACAATAATGTATAAAAACATATATGTCTTCTTTTGAAAAAACAAACAAAAGAATACCCAAAAATAAATCATTATACGACATTAAAGCACATATACTCGTAAAAAAATAATGTAAACAAATTACTGTTAATGTAAATATTAAGGACGTGAGAGACAAGTAAAACAATTACATTTTTGTAATTTAAAAATCAAAGAATAGTCATAGCGTCATAGAGTATGTTTATAACTATCATTACAAGAAGCTTAAAGAAAAAATAATTGAGCCGTTTTTTAGAAAATCTTGTTTTTGGTTAATATTGCACATATTGTACGCAATAGTGCGCTAAAACTACTAAAATAAAAAAATGCACATGAACTACTTACAAGAACTAAGTACAGAGAACAAATTGTATTTGAAAGGAAAATCTCTATCTTCAATTTTGTAGTGTAGGAAGAGGCAAAAAAAATAATAATAAAATAAAAAAAATGCAATTTCCAGAAATTCGGAGTTAACAGTGAAAATCGGACCTATGCCAACTTTATAAGTGTATTTTACTCTTATCTTTCAAAAAAGTTAAAGGAAAATTTGGAGCCCTTTTTGAAAAAAAATTGTAAATGACTCTGGGGGCTCCATGTAAGTAAAAGTTTAAAGAAAATTGTTCAATATCGCAGCGCCTCGAGTATCAGGAGACCCCAAAACTTATATAAACTTATTTCCGTTGAAATCTCGAAATCGAATTTCCACAGTATTAGATAACTTGCTCTAGTATACTACGTGTATTACTCCGTATATACATATATTTATACAGGAAAGTAAAAAGGTAATAAAAATTAAATTTAAAACCATCGATTTAAAACCAAAATTTCTGTTTTTGTCTATTACACCTTCTAACAATTGTAGTCACCAGTCAATTTACGAAAGGAGACGTTCTCTGGAAACATAAATGACCGGCTTAGGTGGCTCAGGGTATCAATGCATGCCACTGCAGTGTCTCTTACTGGGGGGTCCTAAGGCTCGAGTCCCGATGGCGGTAGGGTGTTTGCACCAGTGACGTAGCTAGGTCGAATTCCGCCGCTGTACGGACGAGAAGACTAGCGGCCGGTTGCTCTGATCTGTGGTTTTCGTGGATTGTCCGATCGGCACCTAGTGGGTGCCGAAACTGTACCCTAACGGCCCACGAACTGCGCGCGATCGTTCCTTCCTCTTCCTTGTCCTATCTTCACCCCATATTTGTACTCACACCTACATGCACTACACTACCGCACAAGCCGGGAGCTTAGAGCTTGACCCGGCTAGGGCGGTGCCACGCTGGTGGGAGATACCTGGCTGAAGAAAACCCCGCAGATGAGTAGGTCGGCATCAAATTTTGCCATCCAGCGGGGGAAGATCATCGCCACCTGCCCGCGAAAAAGCATTCACTAAACGTATGGGAGTAATGACCCTAGCAATTGTCGCGCCTGGAATCATTAGTGAATCAATCGGGAAAAACGAAGAGTTTTCAGGCTTGCGAGATGGATTTTGAAAATTAAAATCTATGGAAACTTCATTTCCCCCCTTTTTTAAAGATGTTACTCCGGCAATGGTTCATAATGGAGCACCTATTTGAATTTTTTGTAGATCTTTCAAAGCTTTTGACATATTTTGATAACATTTCACTTTCAAAACTAGCTTAATATGATATTTATGAAATTGCCCTCGATTGTGTAGCATCGTACTTAAAACAGATCGCAATGCGTAGAAATCCGTACTGTCCAGAAAGAAAATTATTTACTCGCCTTTCCAATTCTTTGTCAATTGATCATGGGGTCTATCAGGGTTTAATCTTAGGCTTTATCCTCTTTCTTTTATACGTTAATGATATGTCTCGTCCATTAGAGACTGAATCACAATCAGTAGCTTGCTGATGACGCGAATGTTCCTTTCAACAAAGAAACAAAATTTAGTTCGACTTTGGAAGTTCCAAATTGCTTTTGTAATAAATTAATAGTTAACGAAGGAAAATCGGTTTCAATGCAGTTGTACATTTCAAACGCAAGGGCATGAGTTTGTGAAAATGTAGAATATGCAGTTCTCTGATGTTAAGGTAACAAAATGCCTAGATCTCTCAGTTCATTGAAACCTCAAATTGTATATCCATGTAAATGAATTGAACACTAAACTAAGTTCATTACGTTATGCACTTTGAAATCTTAGAAATTCTATCAACCTGATTTAGCTGTAGTTTGAGAATTTTCATTCCCGCCTCAGATTCTGCAACATTTTTGGAGAAGAGCATCCTGTAATACCCAGATGTTTAGATTGCAGAAAAAAGTGGAGCTAGTAATACGCAAATGCCGCACAAGAACGATGCAATCATATGACAAGTGATTCCTGCAAACTTCTCTTCACTGAGCTTGGAATTTTTGCCATTCCATTGCCTGTGTGTATTACCGAAACTGTATTTTTTGTCAAAACTGATTTACTTAAGGGTGGGAACATATGTTCATACAATAGAGATATTTTAATACACGTCTTAGAAACCGTTATCATCAAGTGAAAGCATCAACAGCTCACCACAAGAAATCCACATGTAATACATGCACGTTATTTTACATCACATTGCCAGACAGCTTAAAACAATTAAAATCTATACCCACGTTTTAAGGGCCAAGAATGATCTTTTCTACTGCAACCAGTTTTTATACCATTGAAGACTACACTGACTATTATAAAGAAAAAAATATTCATTTTAACAATGATACTTAAGGAGTTAGTTGACATGAGTCTACGCTGTTTTGTATGGGCGGAATGCTTAAAACAGAAGTATTTCAGCTATAGACTTAATTGAAATCTATAGGTTCATTGCAACTTCCAGTGGGCGCAGAAAGTGATAGAAAACTATGCAGCCTGGTTAGATAACTTTTCAAAATTAATATTTAGAACGTGATTGTTTCAGTTACTGTACAATAAATGGTATCGTAAGCTATTGTGCTGTTACTATTGTACAATTAATGTGTTCTAAAACAATGTACACCTCGCATACTCTAATATTCATATTTTTCCGACACTCATTATGCATTGTCAATACAAATCAATGTAAGAGTGTCCGACAAGGATTCCGCTGTTTCCCCCGTGAAGTAACACCGTTTGATCGTCAGCTGTGGTTGGCCGCGCTCATTGATTGAGTGAGGAGCGGAGGACGAGGGCGAAGAGTGGCGCCGTGGCCAGGCTCTTCTCCCCCCGCTGTATCGATTGGTTCGCGTTGTCGGTCGTGGCGAGAACGTGAGCAAGCAGGGCGAAGCGGGTCAGGTGCTTAATAGCCTTCGTCGTACAGTAATTAATACTTTAATACTTTTTTACAAGATGAAGTTTTTCTTGGGAATATGCATTTGTGTCTTTGCGAGTGTGAGTGCAGATAGTGGTCGAGGAGCTGACGATGCTGCCCCGAAACTTCTGACAAATTTTCGTAATTTTGAAGCTTGTCTCGACAATTTCAATATACATAATGACAAAATCATTCGCACGGAAGACTCAAGAGCAATGGGTGCGAAATATATAAGTGAAAGTGATATGAACTCAAGAGAGGAATGTTTACGTCTGTGTTGTGTCACAGACACATGTGATGTCTTCGTGTTTGAAGAGAAGGTGAGTGCTGAAAATTGAAGCGTGTTGTATAAAACCTTAATTTATACGCTCCATGGTAGTCAAAATAGTTTTCACTGTGTTTAGGTTGCGCCAGGAAGTTACATCGTTAAGCATTATAGAGTTAAGCATTGTTTTGATTATTTTTGTGTTTGTATAACTAGAATGTTATGAGAGAAAACCGAATGTTATAAAAATAATTATTATGTGTTTTCTCACTACAAGGCGTATGAATATAAAATGTCAGGGGAAAATGTTACATACATTACATCAGCTGTATAATTATTTACCTCAATATGAGAAAAAAAAACACCTGACGGATACTCTGGCTGGTATTTTCGTACTGTAAGTTGCAGTATTTTTTTTATCAAAGGAAGCTGCATTATGAATGTCAAATTAGCTGCCTAGTTTTTTTTGAACTTAAGAGTCGATTAACATTACCTATATGATTGATGTCATCACTCCACTCAGAAAAAGGCGAGCTATTAAAGATTGCCTATTCTATTCGAAGCCTTGACTTTGTTTTGCAATTAATTGCCTATTTAATTCTTGTCATGTTTATTGATAATTGATGAAATGTAGCTGGAAAAACAGAGTACAAATTAGTTACACTCCTCCTAGTGTAAATTTATTTCATTCGTGTACAGTTACGGGTAAGACCATGATTTCAATTCGAGATTGTATATAAATTAACTGTTCATAATTATTTAAATAATCATACGTACTGTTAGCACTTGAGTTTGAACTAACGTCCGCTATGTACGCCCATTTTATACTAATCAAGAGAAAATAATTTCCTGTCAACATGTATCTCAAATATTTGAATATTACTATATTCGTTCTTGCTCATGGGGCATTCCATTAAAATTGAGTTACAGTTGCATACCTTGAAAGTCATTTCTGTTTCTTTGTTTGTTTTTATTTTGAAAATATATCTTAATTTCAGAAACAGTATTTCAGGTCCATTTGCTTGAGAGTAATAATATTGAATGATTTAAACGTTCATGCGGCGTTCAATCGATACTCTAGGTAGTTGTAACGGTTGTTACAAATTAGCTGTAAAGAATGTTACAAAAACCTAAATTGTAGATGGAAGTTGCCCTAAAGATGTCACAATCTCTGCACAGCGAAACGCTTAACCTTGAAGAGAACTGACTGTAAGGTTTATGAAAAAAGGTATCTTTCCACAGAATTTTTGTTTAAGGGATAATTTCAGGGATGATAGTAGGAATACTACCAACAATATAGTTATAAATTATACATGTATTCAAAATACATAATAATAATAATAATAATAATAATAATAATAATAATAACTATCCTCAGAAAAATAATTCAAGATGAGCTGCTCAGATTTCCAGAAAGAACTAAATCCAAAAGAGGGGGAAAAGTGTGAAAAGACAGAAAAACAGGCAACATCTGATAGAATGAAGGAATATTGGAAGAAACGTTAAGAAAGAAAAAAAACACCAAAGAAGTAATTGATCTAACGAACTTGAAAGTGGGTGATCCGAAACAATGCACGATATGGTCTGTAGATACATCCACCAGCCCGTAACGCCCTCTAATATTCCAATCACATGCTACAAGTGGTACAAAAACACCAAAATATTGTATCCCTGTTCGGGCTGTGTTTAATAATGTAAGTCTAAGTACAATCCAGACAAACTTCAAATGGAATATCCATAGGAATGAATGGAACACAAAATTAAGTTCGTTATGCGCATTTAGAAAATTTTCAGATTCAGTCAACTTTCGTACAGCTCGTTGCGTGGATTTTGCGAATGCAGTACTTTCCCGTCTGAGATAATATATAACATTATGGGGAACTTATACTATAGTACCCAGCTTTTTAGATTGCAGAAAACTAGTGACACTTCCCACAGCATATTATTTCTTGTAATATTTGTAACTTTTGCAACTTTCTAAAATCCAAAGAGTGCATCGAAAATGAGTCCCTTGTCATTGTTTAAATGTTCTGTGCTATATTCGAAGAAAATAGTATGGAAAACATTTGGATGCGTTTTTTTGATATTTCTACAATACAACAATATCTCTAAAGTTAATTGTTGTTTTTCAATGTTAATGTTTTACAACTTTATAAAATAGAGATAATAGTTCATAAAAAAGGAGCTGCGACATTTATATGTGTACTTTCTCTTTTCGAGAAAAAATTATGAAAAAAATTGGAGGTATTTGACACAGTATATAAATAGCCTATATTTCATTCAAAATTACACAAAAATCACTCGTTTTCGACAAATTGTACATTATCATATTTAAAAGATTAGAAAGCATTTTATTACGCAAAAATCTCTATCTTCAGAGACCTATCCATTTTTAGCATTTTTCTCTATCCCAGGTAAAAGTTTTAACAAACAATTTGGAGCCATTCTGGAGAAAATTTGAAAATGTTTTAGGGACTTCATCTAAAGTAATTTACTACGTATAGGAACAGAATTATGCTCTTAAAAGAACCACAAAATAATGTTTTATTTATTATCCACTTCAGGGAATAACAAAACCTTTTTTTGTCAAAAAAATGCCGGTTTTGCTGCAGCATTACAGTTCGTACTCTATACTACGCAAGTAGTATGCGAGATGATAAAAATGTAGTAATTACAAGTAAAGAGCAAATGCCATCTACGTGATTCCTACAAATCTTTCTTCATTGAGCTTAGAATCCTACCATTGCATTGTCTATTTATTCATGAACCTTAATAATTTTTGTCAAATCGGATTACGTAAGTACAGGACGTACACTTTTTCTGCTGCATATTTATAATTACAGTACACAACGAGGAATCATATTCCTGGTGTAAGTATCAATAACTCACAACAAGAAATCCTCAAATCATACATTTACTTACAATTTTTGTCACATGACGATAAACAATTAAAATCGATATACAGTTTTAATTGACAAGACTAATACTTTCTGCTGCATATCTGTTTCTATACCATTGGGACTATATAGACCGTTAAAAACGAACACATTTATTTTAGTTATATTATAAATTTCATTATTGCACATTTGCACTGTTAAATTCTAAAATTCTAAATGTGCCTGCAACAAAATTTGTACTTCAGCTTCTGGGACAATCATTCCCGTCTCGATCAGTTTATTACTATTATTATTATTATTATTATTATTATTATTATTATTATTATTATTATTATTATTATTATTTTCAGTTTTCCTTTTCTTGAATACGCTGAGATAGCCCGTTGTATTACTTCTGAATACAAATGACAAATGTAGCTTCATTATGTGCACATTTTGACGAGCTCTCCTTCTGCTAAGTGCGGTAGTAGAATCAAGAGTGTCGCTTGCTATTTTGCTAGCAACTCAATAAAATTAAAGCTTGTAGTTCGTTTACAGATGTAGATAAGTTTTCTATTACTCTGAAACGAAAATATCTAGTGTTCAAAATTTACTAATCACTCTCTGTTGATACCTTTATTCATCATCCAACATCATCCATCATCACCATCCATCAATCATCATGTATAATATAGGATAGTATACTAGGCATTCTAGAGCTCAAGGCGCAGTTTATACTTCTCCCCCATACGTCACATACCATTTATACTGTTTTTCACGAAAATAAATCAAATTAAAACAACACATCCATACTGATCATACAATAGCCGCACACGTACTGGAGATGGCTTATGCAATCAGATTGTCGCAAGAGATAGATACGTCTTAAATAGAAGAGTCTAGAAGTTGAGACGAATCGGATGCGTGGTGTAAAAACACCGGTCGTGCCAATAGCTAACGGAGCACAAACAATAACCTAGTAATAATAATTCAATAGTTAGGACGATTAATAGAGTAATTTTAGAGCATATTTTATTTAAATTATTTTATTTTATTGTTTTAAGGTTATCCATTTTGTATATTTTTATTTTTTATTATATTATAAATACTTCAGTTAATTTATTTTGTGTTGTATTAACCTAAATTCATTTACGTTTTTCTTTTTATCCGTTACGCATTTTTCAGTTGAATCGGAAAAATCTGGGTGAGTACAATAGAACTTGAAATACATTGTACATATCAAATAAAAAGCTTAAAGGATGAATTTAAGAGATCGAGAAACATTACTAATAACCCTGGGCAAGTGTTTCCGCTAAATGTTTATGACACAAAGTTTACCCACAACGGTAACATCTACTACGATTTTAATGTGAGTGGTGTCGATTTATCTCATCGTGATGTACTCCGTCTTCGTGATCCATCGTGGAAATCAAAAGTATCACTTCATTTTTTCATTCACAAGAGAAGAGTAATGTAGGAGGAGTTGTATCTTGGACCTACAGTGAATTAGACTTCACCTGTTGGGTTGGTTTAAAACTACTCACAGTAATTTGTCGACTTGCCAGTAGAAACACAAACTCTATGTAGTAGACGGGAGTTGCAGAGCTTTTTTTAAAAATTAAACTTATTTTCCTCCAGCTGAAAGTAAGTATTTTTGCTTCTATTTCTTTTTCTTCCTTATCCATCTCATTTTGTTTTTTATTACTTAATAATAGTATAAACATTTAAAATGTTCTCCTACCTACAAAATCATGAGTGTAAAACAGCTTTATCTTCAACCTAAAGACGGCTGATTTACGGATGACGTATTTTTATGAAATATGATTAAGTGTTGTACCTTGGACCGGTTCAAAGAAAAACTCTGGTGAAATTAATATAGCAAAATAAGTTTTTATAGGCAGTTCTAAAATAATTGTATCTGTATGAATAAAATGTTGGTATGTGTGTGTCATGTAGACTAAAAAACACTTGACCGATTTAGATAGAATTTATGGAAATTTCGACTTCTATAACCGACTGAGGTGGATTAGTGACAGAATTCTGTCAAGTTGCTGACTGAAAGTTTCTAGAATTCATGTTCCAACGGTGGTGGATATTTAAATCTATAAAGCTAAGTCGAATTTAACTATTGGAAGAGAAATGTGGAGTCCGGCTGCTTTGATCGCTAGTTTCTTGCATGAATACCAGGCGAATGCAGTACCTTAGCAATTGAGTCATATACCGCGCGCTGTATTTTATTCACTACTCTTGCTCTTGACTTTCCCCATACACACACATACAAACTCTCTTACATTCGCTACATAACCACACATATTTGAAGATCAGACCTTGTTCTGGTAGGGGCGATACACCGCTGAGGTACATACTACTTGTAGAGGGAAAATCCTGCAAGACGAGGTGTAGGTTTGCACCGGATCTCACCCTTCCATCACATGAGTAACACCGCTGCCTCTCGGGATATAACATGCAACATACATAAGAGACTAATAGCCACAGTAGTTTTCACTCCCGGAAGAAATAAATAACTAATTCAATCGACTGTTGTTGAAATTGTATTTTGCTGTTCAATAGAGTAGGTACAATTTCTTTACGATTCAATTTTTATTTGAATTTTATCTCGTTATAAATTTTGTGGTCAAAGGTACATACACATCTAGGACCCGCTCAGTATACTACTTGTATATACTTGTATATATATAGTATGTTTGTATAAAGAATCTAAAGTTAACTCAACGTCATTCTTTTTTATTTTAAGTTCAAAAACACGCGAATTAAAAAAGTTCAAAAGAGACCCAATATATATTCCTTTCCCCTACTTCTAAAATACTGGCAAACAAAAAAGGATGTGTTTAAAAGTTTGTTTCGGCAGACAAGATTGATCGATTGATTAGTGTTTCCGGGTGCGTCAACTGCTAAGGTCATTTGCCCCGTAAGTGTAGTGCATGCTTTTTATGGCTGGGCAGTAATCTTCCCCTGTTGGATGGCAAGAATCTGCGCTGACCCAGTACACGTCGACTTGCGTAGTTTCCCCAACCAGGTATCTCCCACCAGCGAGGCTCCGCCCCAGCCTTTTTAGAGAAGTAGAATACGCGGTGGGATCTACAGTTCTCATTGAAGAGTCTCCTCTGCTGCACACGGAAATTAAGAATCTTCATATTCTGCTCTTGATCTAAACAAGATGCAGATGACATCAAGATATGAGAGGTGCTCTCTTTTCCGTCGTCAAATAATTATCAGACCTTCAGACTTCAGAGATTTGTCATTTTGGCACAGTGCAACACTGATTTTCCACGTTTCGTGTACGGTATCGATATCTATTGGCTTCTCAAATATCGCTGTATTCACTTACCCGAAAAAGTAACCGGCACGTCAATAACTCACGCACAGCAAGTCCCGGTTCAGTCCCGTGGTCAAGGAGTCGTTTTGAATAAATTGAGAATCATTGCCCAAGCTATGTTGAATCCAGGGCAGACGTAGATCCCGAGCTATGGCCGGGGTCCGTTTCTGTTCTGTCACCTGTTCTGCCTACCTTGAGCGTCTTTTCACGAGTTGCCTCAGCAGTGGTCTTGGGAGGGCAACCTAAACAATAGCGGAAATCGTAACGATGAAGTATGGCTGCACTCTTGCGATGTGTTGGAAGATCCATGCACTAAGCTAACTGTAAACTAGATGGACAGTCGGTTTTAAGATTTATTTTTCAGAGGTCTAGGAAAAAAAGGTTTGCGGGACGTACTACATAGTACATTGTACTTGCGTTTGTGGTGAATGGGTTATGTCACAACTTGCCGTTTAGAGGTCTGTGAATAAATACTTTTGATAGGCGGAACGTATTTAACAAAGAAAGCGTATCTACACAAAATATGGAAGTGTTCAGTTAATACCGTTGAACATAAAGTTGGTAATTCTGCCTCAGAGCAATTTTCTCTACGTTATTTACATTTATCAACATTTTTACTATATGTATACGAATTTTATTATTTTCTATTATAATAACTAAGGATTATGATTTTGTTACTCTCAGGTATACTTTGTGCCTGAATTATATTGATACATATTTTGTATCGAGGGGTGTTTGTAATGAAAATAGCACATTCCATTAGCAAGCATTAGCATTGCTATCCACAAGCAATCCACAAGCCATTAGCATTGATGGATTATTTCGTTTCCGTGCGCCTCAACTGACGTGACCGCTAGTCCCGAAAGTGTAGTGCATGCTCTTTTCTCGGGAGGGGGCGGGGTTCTTCCCCCGCTGAATGGTTTGCCCCGGCGCCTATCTACACGTCGCTTGCCGGGTTTTCTCCATTAAGGCGTCTCTCACCAGAGAGGAAGCGTTCCAGCCGGTACGATGGCTGGTATTCGCCGGGTGTCAGGGGGAGAAACCACGGAAAACTGCGATCGGAGCAGCCGGCCGCTAGAATTCCCCTCTAGAAAGCAGATGAACTTGACCTAGCAATCTAACTAGTTTGGACAATCCTGCCCCTGCCGAGACTCGAACATTGTGACCTCCTGGGCAGACGCACTGCAAGTGCGTTAAGTTGTTGCCCTAGTCACTTTAGCCGGTAGGAGCGGGATGCGTTTTAGTCACATTGTAGGAGAAAATAAGCTGGTATTAGACTATCTCGCCACGTAAAATAAGGCATATTCAATTCAATTCAATTCAATTCAATCCTTTGGAGGTCATAAATGACATCTTAAACGAAGCTAAAAAAATGAATTGGGCTAGTTAATAAAATTAGCAAGTTTTGACAGCATTTGCCTCGTTTAATCTTCCTCAGATTTCGGCTGTCTTCTAAATATGGTGCTGGAACGTAACATTATCATGTGAATGTGTTTTTCCTTTATCGTGTTGCTGTTATAATGGTCTGTTCAGACAATACTAATATGCAATTCACACACGGAATATATTTTATAAGTCGGGTGTTAAGTGCTTAGGAACGCAAATAAAAAAAGTTGAACTATCAGTTTAATCTACATAAAAAATTCTATTGATGTCAGTTCTAAACAGTTGATTAGTCGGATTTTCACCCAGAAAAATTAAAAATATTTCTGAAAATATATATTTGTTATTAGGTTTTAATGACTACCGTTATTTCATGGAATACATCTATTTGATTGGACGTAAGCTCAATGTCACACAATTATTGTCCGATGTTGGGAAAGTTTCCTAATCTCTGCAATTCATAAATTTCATACATATTACCTTAGAAATTAGATTAAGGTTTAGTGTCATATAGCAGATAATTACTAACCAATGATTTTTACAGAGACCTGGCAGCTGTTATTTATTTAACTGTGGTTCTGCAGCTGACTTCAAGTGTAAATTTACAAAACATCACAATTACACAAGCGGCATTTTGACTCTGGAGCATGACGTTGCACTGGATCCAGACCTTCCTTCGAAACATGAGCAAGAATTGAATCAATTAAGGTAAGTAGCCTTTCGTTTGAAGACAGAAATGAAGAAGGCACTAGAAAATATTCGTGAATATGAACAGTTAGAGTTGCCTTAAACCTTTGTTACTCAGTGTTTAAAACATTTAAAATTAAGCAGTAAAAAAATTTAGGTGCATAACCCGGCAGGAACGGATTGAGTCACTCGAAGCGACTCGATCTCGCGTGGAAGTTGCTGAAGTTGTATCAACACGTTCAAGCTTCTTAAACGCTTCATAGCGGCAATGTTTGCTAGACATGGCGGTCATTTGAATTATACGAAAGCTAAACAACGATCTCCCACTCCCACATTGAAAGAATTGTGTTCAAGCCCCACGTGGGAAGAGTTATGTTAATATTAATGCTTGTCACTTTCCAAAGCTGCTGCAAATAAAATGATTTGTAACGTCCTCGCAGCAGACCACACAATTGTTGGAGTTAATTAGTAGCCTTACATAAATCAAATTAATATGTGTGTAGTATGCAACAAAACAAGTTCATCATATTTTCTTTTTACTTTCCCGTATACGTTCGTATAAACGGAGTTTATGGAAAGTTATCGAATGCTGCAGAAAATCAAGTTCGAGATTTCAACAGAAATACACGTATTGGAGTCCCCTGCTACCGAAGAATCGTTCTTGTTTTAGAAAGTCCGTCCGTCTGTGAACATCAATAGCGCCTAAACAATACGTAGGAGTTTTCCAAATTAAATATTTCTCCGTGATCTGGGTCGACTCGAGGCGCTGCGATTTTGAAAAATTTTCTTCAAAATTTGTGGGTACTTGACATGAAACCTCCCAGGCATTTGAAACATTTTCTCAAAAACGGCTCAAATTTTTTCTTTAAATTTCTTGTAAAAATGGAGTAAAACACACTTATAAAGGTGGCATAGGTTCTATTTTCATGGTTATCGCTGAATTTTCGAAAATTACAAAATTTTGAAATTATTTTGGCATGTCGGGTTTTCTAATTAATAAGCCATTTACATTTTTTCATGCGGCATGATATATGCCTATCGCAAAGCGCTTGTACAGTTTGAAAAGTCAGTGTCTGGCTCTCAAGAATCTTTGTTCAATTGTTTTTTCATAAATGTTTATAATCGGAAACTTTCTTTAACTAGAGGCTGATAATTGCTTCAGTTTGATTGACGGTCAATGGTATTTGGTTTTTGATGGTCATAGAATGGTTTATTTAGAATGGTTGGCTGGTCATCGACGTCTGCCAGATGAAAATGCTTGAATTAACTTATTGCTGTGTCTTCCCAGGCTATTCTTAAGTCGCTCTAAGAAGTGAAGTTACCTTATTGTTTGTGGGGTGTTGAGGCGCTGGGCAGCAAGTATATTTTCGTTTCAATTAACATCTTAGTAGTTACTTTTTACTTTATTTTAAATTTCTGACTGATGGAATAGAAGATTATTAGTATACTTTTTAATAATCGTATTTTTACAATACATCTCTCATCTGTTTTAATCACTGACATTACATTTACTGTATATATAAAATCTCTACGTTCTCACTTTCCCTCCCTCCTCTCTTTCCGTCTCCCTCTTTCGTTCTTCCATCTTCGTCGTCTCCCACCCTTTCTCTTCCTCCTCCTCATTCTCCTTTAAAGCCGCAAAGTAGATGGAGCGACCGGATTATTTCGTCACGCTACCATTACGTCACCGGGCGTCTGTAATCCATGAAATATAAATAACGGATTCTACGATCCCCCATCCCTAGCGTCCCTTATTGACTACTTGATTGCTCGTGCCCTTCAAATGCTAGGCTAAATTTTGAGGCATGACAAAAAATAAAATAACAAAAGAATATCAATAGAATTTATCCACAGTTACAATTAAAGTGTGAACAATTTTCGCCGTTTCAAACTACCTCATTAACGTAATCGAAAGGTTATTTCAAAATCAATCACTGCTATCCTCACATGATTTACATATAGTTAACTAAAACATTTACCTTATGTAATTGTTGTGTACTATGAACATTAAAATACATATTTTAGTCTCTAAATCACTGGACAACTTAAATCAATTTTGTATGTAATTTCTTGACTCATATTATCGTATTACAATAAAAACGTACAAGTTGTTCCTACCCTTTCTTCAACTTCTGCTAGTGAAAACTCTGGAACTGTTATCAAATAGGGGCACGTAAACTTTCGCTACGTTAGTAAGCGTTGCACTTAACCTTAGCTGCAAAAAGTTAGTTTTGGTTGAGTATAATTCCTTGCACCTTAATGCACGAATGTAATCCCTTTTGCGTCTACGGTTCATCGACCGAGGCAAAAGCGGAAAGTTCAAATTAAACAGGAAGGGGTCAAAGTTGACGCGGGAATTATCCTGTTATCAGGTTCCCCTCTTGCAGCGTGGCGTTCTGTTACAGGCCGAGAATAAACATCATGTCCTCCTTTCCTTCCAAACGCTTCAACGATTCGCCTTTGATTGAATCCACGAAGAGATGTAAACAGAGTTTTGAGCACCCACCGAGGTGAAGACATTTAAGAAGATGATTAAAGGTTAATAAAAATAATACAAAAAGATGGAAATAATAAAACGGTAGCCCTTTAGTACAAGCTTCATGAATATGTTAGTCCGCCGGTCTATGTCGTGGGTGTTTCAATGGTCTTACAGTTATAACACACTGAGATGACAAAAGTCATGGAATTTCTCCTAATATCGTGTCGGACCTCCTTTTACACGATGAAGTGCAGCAACTAGTCCTGTCATGGACTCAGCAAGTCTTTGGAAGTCCCCTGCAGAAATATTGAGCCATGTTCCTCTACAGCCGTCCATAATTGCGAAAGTGTTGTCGGTGCAAAATTTTGTGCACGAACTGACCTCTCGATTGTGTCCCATAAATGTTCGATGAGATTCATTTCGGGCGATCTGGGTGGCCAAATCATTCTCTCGTATTGTCAAGAATATTCTTCAAATTAATTGAGAACAATTGTGACCCGATGACATAAAAATCCACAAAAATTCCACCGTTATTTGGGTACATGAAGTGCTGAAAATGGTCTCCACGTAGGTGAAACTAACCATTTCCAGTCAATGATCGGTTCATTTGAACCAGATGAGCCAGTTCATTTCAGACAGACCCTTGTTGACAACTCGGATCCATGGAGTCATGGAGTTCTGCGTCACACTCGAACCCTACCATCAGCTCTTACCCAATAAAATCGAGACGTATTTGACCAAGCCACGGTTTCCCAGAATTCTAGACTCCAATCGATATTGTAACGAGACCAGGAGATGCGCTTCAGGCGATGTCGTGCAGAAACAAAGGCACTCGCGTCACTCTTCTACTGCCTTAGCTCATTAAGTCCAAATTTCGTTGCAGTCCTAACGGATACGTTCGTGGTATGGCCGACATTGATATCTGCGGTTATTTTACGTAGAGCGGCTTGTCTATTATTGCTGACAACTCAACGCAAACGCCACTGCTCTCAGTTATTAGGTGAAGGCAGTCGACCACTGCGTTGTCCGTGGTGAGATGTCATGTCTGAAAATAGGTATTGTCGGTACACCCTTGACACTGTGGATCTCGGAATTTTGAAGTCTTTAAAAGATTTTCAAAATGAAATGTCCCATGAGTGTAGCTCCAACTATTATTCTGCGTTCAAAACCTGTCAATTTCCGTCATGTAGCTATATCATATCAGAAACCTTTTCACTTGAATCACTTAACTATAAATAAAAGCTCTGCCAATGCACCGCCCTTTTATATCTTTTGTACGCGATACTACCGCCATCTGCATATTTTCATATTGCTATCCCATGATGTCTGTCACATTTGCGTCAGCAATTTATAACGTAAGATAATATTATCAGCATATTCTAATATTCAACTAACATGTGAAGTTCTTTACCTTCTGTGTATGTCTTGTGTCGTTTATCCACCAACATAGCGGTTTTCCTTCCGTTGTGAAGAAAATACTGTGTCATGACGTTTGTTTTTCGTACACGCACAGTATCACCTTCATTTCTAGTCGTAGCCAGAGCGGAAAAGTTTGTTTTTCTTGAACTGTGGCTCGCTTCCTCTTGTGACAACATACTCTTCTGTAAAGCTGATTGGTTTATTCCTGCGTAGCGTGAATATCGTAGCGCCGGGAGTGTTCACAAACTTGTATCAACTGCCACGCGATTTCATTTTTATTTATTAATTTAACTCTAGAAATAGCTGAAAACTGTGTATATACTATGGATAGAAGTGAATTCTTTGCACGTTTTCTTAAATTCTGAAATTTCTACCCTAACCCATATTTAATTTGAATTATGAATAAAGGTGAAAACGAACGTTTTTTGCAAGAATTGATATGAAAATATTAGCTCCCGTGCAATAAAAAACTATTTTCAAATTGTAATAAAGTACAGATTTTGGCTTTTATCCCTCAACGTGTTGGTTCCTTAACATCATTCAATAGCATATCATTCATTTTCAGTGGAGAATAGAATTGATTATTTGACATGGAAAACGACATTGAAACTCGTTCCCCTTTACTATTTTTTTATTATAAAACCAATTTGAAAATCTGATACTGTATTATTTACTTTATTTATTTCAAAGAACATTTATATGATCCGCAAAGAGAACTGTTCGACCGTTTTGAATCGTCGAGGGCATATCTTTGACGTATAGCAGGAAGATAATAGAGCCTAAAATTGAACCCTACAGGACCCCATGTGCAATAAATCGGAAAGGTGAGAAAATAATGTTTCATCATTCCAGTATGGTATTTATTCTGTTTGAGATCGTTCTTTACCAAAAAAACAAACAGGACTACACTATGTGATCGAAAGTATCCAGACACGCTGAAAATGACTTACCAGTTCGTGGCACTCTCCATTGGTAATGCTGGAATTCAATAAGAGTGTTGGCTCACCCTTGGAAGGTTTCTTGGGGAATGGTAACCCATTGTCCACGGAGTGCTGCACTTAGAAGAGGTATCGATATAGGTTGGTTAGGCCTGGCACGAAGTCGGAGTTTCTAAACATCCCAAAGGTGTTCTATAGGATTCACGTCAGGACTCTGTACATGCCAATCCATTACAGGGATGCTATTGTAGTGTAGCCACTCCACCACAGGCCGTGCGGTATGAACAGGTGCTCAATCGTGTTGAAAGATGCATTCACCATCCCCGAATTGCTCTTTAACATTGGGAAGCAAGACGTGTTTAAAACATCAACGTACTTCTGTGCCGTGATAAAGCGCCACACAAAAAACAAGGGGTGCAAGCCCCCTCCATGAAAAACACGACCACACCATAACACCATTTTGGACGTGTCTTGATACTTTGGATCACATAGTGTATATAGAGCAATACCACGAATTCTATACGCAAATTTTGAAAGTAAATCATTAAGTTATTATCAATGACTTTAAATGTATTTGGAAAACGTAAAAATATTCCAATAAGAGCATCATTTTGATCCATGTTCTGGGCTATGGCCGCGCTGCAGACCGCAGCGACAGACAGTGTCCGTTCGGACCCCTGAACGGTTACAATATCGAACGTGCGTTCGTATCGCTAGTACATCTATCCTTGGATATGGCACATTTTTAGGTATGCGTATCGTTCAATAAAATTAAATATATTGAATAAAATAATACAAAAAATAGAGGAAAAAATTGTAATGCAAGAGAAAGCAAATTCAAATATTGCGGTGCAGGAATGCTTGCAGAAACGTCGAAAGAGAGCTAGACTCTGTGCTTTCTTCAGGATTTATAAAGGTGAACTTTCATGGAAAGATATATGGAAGTGACAGTTAAAATCTTTGTACCGGCAGCGCATAAGCGACTCTGAGAGTTCTCTCGCCACTTGCTGTGGTACGTCATGACACCTGTTCTGGAGCATTCAGCTTGCCACAATTTGTTTATTTTCTCACAGCCTGGGTTCAGCGTTGCCGCTCATCTGACTCACACGAAGTCGCGGAGGCGATAAGGTTCGACTTTGGCAAAAGTTATGAACATGATATCAAGACGTGTCATATCCTGTCAGTAAGTGTTAATGTTTCGAGATTTCATTTATCTGTGCCATGTGTGTAGTAATGTGTGGCAACAGCGCATTTAACTGGCAGAGGGACTTATATGCTGCTGGCACGGTAGTCATCAGGGCCACAATTGCAAAATGATGTGAAGGAGGCATAAACAGACATTTGAAAATTTTCTTTTCTTAAACGGGCAAAAAATGGGAATGTTACCAGAGACTTTACTTCAGATAAATCTAAAATAGTGGATAAATCTAAAATTAAAAATCATATTACTACATTATTGTATTGCAACGCCAACCAGAGGCGAATCTTGCCTTCCGCCTTCCGGTAATAATCTGATGGTGGCGTTGTAGGTTGCCTCACATAAGAGAAGCAGAAACCGTGCGCTTATAAAGTATGCGAGGGTAATCAGATTAAAAGATTCGTCATCGCTTCTGGACGCCAAATGCGGCTGCCGCCGCGCGTCGCTGCGCTGTGCGCCTCCCCACGTCCAGGGACGCAAACGCCCAAAAAATGATTATTCGCTCATCGACAGGTACGCCTCCATCTGCCAGACATGTCCTAGCACGGAGGACCAAGGTCACACCTCTAGTGACCTCGGTGCCCTGGGAGCGAGGAAGATTCTTATTGGAGTAGCATAGAGAGTGGACCGTCCGCCGTAGCAATCGCCCAGTCTCCGGTCTTGTGTTGCCGAGCTCCCGCACTGCCACTAAAGAGGCCGGTCTGTTCAATGCGGGTGCGACCGTAGGGAGGCACTTCGCCACATTTGGTTCCGTTAGATCAGAATACGAAGGCACACACAGAACGTGCGAGTAGGGCCCGCCCCAGGTTGGAGCCAGGAAATATCAGAAATGTTAGCGTGCCGAGTTGCCATCGAATCGATGCAATAAAACTATGGTTTCCGTTTCCACTACCCTGCCTGTCGAAAAATGCAGTCGAAATTTTAGCTGAAATATGTCTGGGGCATTCACGACCTGCTACGCTAATATTTTAGTAAGGTTATGCCCCCACACTCATGACTTTACTTTGGTACACTTCGTATTTAACACGTAAGCTTTGATTCCTTTTGACAGAGAAATATAAAATGCAAGATACTTCATAAACGTAACGGGTTTATCCTATTTTAACAGGAGACCAGAAGGTGCTTCATCCGCATTAAATTTCACTTTTGGAGCTACATCACAGCCTCAACTGCATCTGCAAGGAATTTTTCACAAACCAAACAAGACTACGGACCAAAGTAAGTGCAATCGATAATTGGTAGACTGTAAATGTATGTTTTCACGTTGCATATGTCAGGTTCATATTCATGGATATTTTTCTTTCCGCATTCAAACAGAATGAAAAACCATTTCGAAACAATATATCACGATTCTGAATATGGTAAGGCTGTATCCAAATGATCAATAACGTGTCTTGCCACTTATTACACAATATATAATCAATAACCTATTGGTCCATACATTACAGCAAAATTACTTAATGTTATTTTATTTGTATCGAATTGGAAAATAAACTTCCACAACTTTTCCAAAATATTACTTTTATAGCAGGAGGTTCAAGATGTGTTGAAAGAAGCTAAGCCAATATCAAGGTTATGTCATCACTCCAGCTTTTTCGAACTGGCGATTAACAAACTCAGTTATATTTTTAATTCAGATTTATTTTAATGTAAAGTGGTACAATGGCACAACGAACACACATACGTATTCATTTGACGCAACTATTATACAAGCACAGCGTTTGACGTAATGCATAACATTGTCATATGTATAACATTGACGTATGCTCAACAGAACATAAAATATTAATAAGAAGTAACCTCGTTACAAATAAAAAAGTAATTACATTTCAATATATGACTTAATGTGCATTACAACGTGACGATTTTTCAAGTAATCCTTACGTATTTAAAATACAAATTAACTACTAACCATTAATCAACCTATTTTAGGTTACAACAGAACTCATTCTATATTTCATTTTTAATGATCATAGAATTAAATCATTAGAACACAAAACACTTAATGTGAATGTCCGGTTAGTTTGCTATAGATTCTGTAACTTCTAGATTTGCAAGGTACATCTGAGTTTGAAATTGATTATCATCAGTAAATGATATCGTCTCATCTGGGATCTGTTGCAAATGTTCAGCAGTCACTATCTACTCCAAACTGACGTATATGGCTTCATTATTTGCTTTCCTCCGTGAAGTATCCTCTATTGTAACCGTTGACCCATAATTAATTATAGCACTTGTTGGTCGAACGTGAAGATTGTTACATTGGCATATATTGATAAATATTTTCCGTGGAGTAACAGCAGCCCCCGAACTTCTCCTCGTTTTCAATTCGATGAACAGTATTCGTACTCGGAAACCGAGGCTTTTTCTGTCGGTTTGGAGTTATTGACAACATGATATTGTAATTGATACCTTCCATTTTTTTCAAGTCTGGAATTACTCGTACGTTCTATAATTTTGATTGCAATCTTTCTTGCGTTGTTGGACGTAGTGTTTTGTTATTCTGAAAAAAAAAAGCTTTTTGATGTGGAGAACCCAAGTCTGTTGATTTAGACATGTTGCAAAATTTGAGCAATGCGGTGTATTTTGTTCATCAAAGACACCATTTCAATAAAACAGTTTTGTATTTACAAGGTACGTGCATTACCTTGTAAATGCAAAATCTTTTTATTGAAATGCCGTGCAAGCAACCGGAACGACCGGAACCCCATGGAAAATGTGTAATTTATCTAAGCATTTAAATTTTCTGGCAATTATGGTTGTCTGTTTCTAATGCTTCTGGAATACCAAATAAACTTATCCAATTGTCCAGCCTTCATGGGGTTTCTCTTGTTCATGTGTTCGAAACTTAATGCAATTCAAATAATTCTGAATAACTGTCCGTAACAAAAAATGCCAAAAGTGGTACTCTGATTTTTCGAGCTGGAATAAGTGTTTTTGGGCGATAATTTGTCTAGAGAATACCTTTGAACATTTTAGTCCAAGACTCCATAGATTCGTACAATTTATATACCCGTTGTATAGTTGGAATCCACGTTCTGTTGTTTATTGATACTGAAAAATTGGTAGCCATTGCTAGCACTTAAATCATTGAGACGATTTTTTTCCAAATGTGGTATTCCCCAAGTGATCTGGCCAAACTCTAGGCACTGCGATGTTAAAAAGGGATTTTTTTGTTTTGGGAATACTTTATATTTAGCTTCAACATTTGCATGAAATTGCTTCAAATCTTTTGATTAAACGCTTCAAATCTGTTGATTGAGCAAAGAACGCTTAAAATGGCGCAGGTCTCTTTGTCATTGACCTCCCTGAATTTTCGATTAATGGGAAAGTTAAACATTTTTTTGCGTTATCTTACAACAGTATCGAAGACATTTTTTTTCTAAATGAAATCCGTTCTTCAAAGACAGATTTTTAAATACATTGCAAAATTGGACATCGTTGCACATACAATGTAAATGTGGGCAAGACTCTTGGCTGTCCGGGTGACTCTGCGGCGAAGCAGACATTTCAACCATCGTATCGCGGACTTCAGGACTGTAGTTCGCCAGGCTGGTGGGCGCTCGTGTTTGCTGTGTGGCTGTCTCGGGACCGGGATTTGGTTGGCTGTATAGCTGGCCAATCAGGCGGGACCGGGCAGTGGTCTAGTGGGTGTGAGATCGGACGGCTTGGCGCGGTTCAGGATCGTACGTCACGAAACAGTCTGGTGAGACGAGTCAGCGTGGCGCGGACCGGGATCGGACGGAAGAGAACAGTCCTGAGGGGTGGTCCCCAGAGCCTCCGTTCTCCGCAGAACTGATTGCTAAGCAGCTGCGGTCGCAACCCCGCGTCGCCGTTGAGTTGTGAGGATGTTTGGCATCTCCAGGGCTTTCTCGTACCGTCTAGGCTACCACTGGTCTTTTTTGGCGAGTATCTTGGTTTCTCCATATCGGAAGTCGTGGCCAGTTTCCCATGCATGCAGAGTTTCAGAAGAGCGTTGTTCATTCTTGTTTTTAAAATGGCGAATGTGATCTCGTAGTCTTTCTTCCACTGTTCTTCCTGTCTTGCCGATGTACTTGCGACCGCAGCAGCATGGGACGGAATAACAATGCAATGTCACTAATGCGCGGAAACGCTACCTATGCCAAGGCACGACTGCCGAGCACGAAACTGTTATGCACCGATTTAAACGTAGTGGCACTTCAAGGTCACGAGTTGAAAGGAGAGGGTGACATTGTCATTCGATCGGAAGCTGCAATAACAAAAAATTAAGTTGTAACGAAGCTCACGATTGGATGGCAGTGCCCCCTCTTCGTTAACGTGTGTCCTTGAAGTACCATTGGGTATAAATCGGTAAATCTGTGTTTAAATCGGAGTATAAGAAGAATGGTACAGCATATAAAATGGTTATTTACAAAAGGCGTCATGCTCGTATGAGATTCAATTTGCTTGTAGCTATTCATAAGCAAGTATTATTTAAACGATGCATCATGACATCGAGGCCCTCATGGACTCGTTGAAAGAATTCCAATGATTCGACAAATACATTTTTTCAAAAACGTATCATTCATGGAGTTAAGTATTTCTTTTCGTGGAAACATTATAATATGGGCATGATCCCTTTGTAGATTTGTCGACTCAAATGCAAAATAAGTTTCACGTCATTTTGTCGTCTATTTCTAATTCACAATATTGTTGCAGGTCCCATTAAAATAAGACAGTGTAGTCGATTCCAGTTCAAATGTCGCACTTCTGGAGAATGCATTGCTATTTATAACGCTTGCGATGGTATTCCACAATGTGCTGACGGCAGCGATGAGTCGACTGAGTTAGGATGTCGAACTCCAGGTAAGAGGAATTCTAATACTAGGAATACAAAACATCGTCACTTTCGAAGACAAAAGCTACCATTTGTGTCGACATGCAAACATTCGACAATATCAGCATATGCTCAATACATCATCGGGAATCTCACGATATTCTCGCGCTTTTATAATAAATATTTCAGAAATTCATCTAAACTAGCTGAATATTTATTTGTTAGTTTACTGAATATTCTGAGGACTTCACTGAAAGATTTTTTTAGGAAACATTTATTGTTGAATTTTGTATTTTATCCCTTCGTGTGATCAACTGCAATTTTCGAAGAGTGTTGATCAAATATCCTTGCAAAATATGAAAGATTGCTGTCTTTCTCATTATCCTTTGAAGAATTCTCTACAGTTTTGAGATGTTATAATTTTTACAATATTTCGCATAGCTTTAGTTGGATTATTATCATTTAAAATATTCGAATTATTTTTGCCTGTGCTATTTCTTTCCTGAAAAATACTTTTATATTTTTGGAAGTGGAGAAAGAACTATTTAATATACTACTCTTTTTAAGAGAAAAGTACATGTTAAAGTGAAATGAGAACTTTCAGAAAAATAAATTGTAGTTTTTGTTCATATCAACAAAATTGTAAATTATTAAAAAAGGTTATCCATGATTCCTGTAGCAAGTAGTTTGTAAATGCTTTTGGTTTATTTTTAGAGTAATCTAGTATTTTATTAATATATACACATGCGTGTATTTTTAAAGTTTCTGTGTTCAAATTACTGACAATTATAAGAATTAATGCATCATGGTCATTGTAACGTAGACCATTAGTTATTATTTCACATCTAATTGTGATTTTGTTAATTAAGATTTAATCCATTCCTTTTTATATAACTGTATTCCTAAAAAAACTTTTTTCTATAAATTGAGTCTTTCTGATGTTATTCAATACTAAACCCTCAATAGTCATTTCTAATACGGGTCATTATTTATAATTATCATCTCAAAAGTGAGCTGTGTAGCTTACGAAACTATTTAGTATTAGAAGTAATTGTAATTATTGTGTTTGTGGCTTTACAGTGACGTCTTCATTAGTTCCTATTGTGGCATCATCTGGAAATAAAACAGACCAAGAAGATGCTCTTCCAAAATCATATGGAAATCCATATCACTTACAACAGAAAATGTTCTTAGCAAATAAACTGAAAAACGAAGAAACGAATGTAAAATCTGAACCAGTAATAGAAAATACACATATTCATGCGGAAAGTGATCATCCTGTTCAAATTCCTCAGTCAACAAGAAATATTATGAAACAACCTGAAACTAGCCATATTTCTGCACCTGAATATCAACCGCCGCGTCAACAAATAGCTTTCAACAAACCAGATAACCCTTCAGAGAGAAATCCTTCATCAGTATACACAGGTAAGGATATAAAATATTCTTTTACATTCTCAAATTCTACGTATATAAAACATTAACGTAATGCCGCAAGGAAAATTGCTGACATTTTGACAGATTGAAACGAATTGTAAGTCCTAGAAGTCGAAAAAGTGTGTTCTTACTTCCTCGTCTTCTGCGTTCTTATGTAGTAAGGACAAATTTTTGTAACGCTGCTGCGGAAATTGGGGATTTTTCCACAGAAAATCTGGTACTGTGTGTTCCTCACCTCTACAAAATAGTTAAATATTGTTCCTGTATGCAGTAAGTTACAGCTAACATCTTGTATAATCAAAATCCACGTTTCGTGGGTTCTTGATACCGAAAAATTGGTTTACAACATAATGCATGTCCATTGATGATCAACGCTGGCGCCTGAACCGTTCAGACTATTTTCATCAAACGTGATATCCCCCGTTCGGGCCGAAACCGATAAGACAGTGATTAGACAGCGTCGGAGAACGCTTCATACTCTTTTGCGCTCGGGCTCTAGTGTGCCTGGGCAAATATTTTTCTTTAATTTTTTTGCAGAAATAGGGCCCAATGCAATGAATTTAATGGCAGAAAGCCACTTGCAATAAAACTGGTAACAACCGTTACCAGTAATTCGAGAATGAAAGAAGCACCTCCGGATGTTGATGGATACGCACACGAATGGTGGCGTATCAAGAGTTATATACTTTAACCAATCGTGTTGTTCTGTATAAATTTGGCTAATGACGGTCTCTACGATATCGGTTTGTGACCAATCTGTTGAGAAGTGAGGTTGGTACTGTAAAAGGAGGTATTATAAAGGGTGTTTACTGTAGTTACTTCTTACTTTATACTTCCTCACATGTCACATTCATACATCAGGGTTTTTTTAAGTGGTTTACAATAAATTTAATTCATGAGTATTTATTATTAATTATGCCGGTCATGAATCTTGTGCATAACTTGGCAACAATACAATTTTTTTCTTGACCATGACAAATTAGCTTATGCAAGCAACGACCATGCAAGCAACCATGTTAGTAGATTTACTCCGTTAGTAGATTTACTTGCATGTAAAATATCCTCAAGTCTAAATGATGCCTCTGAGCTAAATTCAAAATTGCCTGTTTCTCGCCCCAGAAATACCTCCTTTCTCTGCTAGTTGGTGAAAGGAGCGTAGCGAAATTTGCGTGGTCAGATGGAAGAGCGGGCCTGATGGCCCGAGTCTCGCCACGTAAAATAAGGCAAATTCAATTCAATTCAATTCAATTCAACGACAAAATTAGACACATTAGACAATTGTTGCTAAATTTCCAAACAATGCAAATTAAATTACATCGTGTTTACGCATTAAACCAGAATTTTAACTATGCTCCGTTTTTAAACCATGTGAAACGAACTACCCATTAGACGCAGTAAATAGAGCTGAATTATTTAAAAAAAAAATACTTTCGGTATTTTCGTGAAAAATGTATACTGATATTACTATGAACTTGTGTAGAACTTTGCAATAATGTTAATTTCATTAATGTAAAGTTGTCTTCAATTTCATAATTCATTACGTCATTCTCATATAATAGTAGGCCTATATTGAAAAAGAAAATTTCAGTACATGGAAAACAGTTCACAAAATTACGAATCAACAAAGTTTCTCTTCAATCGTTTGTCCAAGAGACACCTATTCTTAATTCTATAATTAATAATAAAATATATCGCAGGTCACGTAGAAAAGTGAGCCAATTTTGAGATAATACTACCATTGAAAAGCGGAAATTTCAATTTACAATTTGAAATTAGTCAAATTAGTTGAACAAGTTATTATATAGCAAACATAGAACAACAAAGTTTGTGACGATAATTACATTTTTTCCGGTACTTGAGCTGCACTGACAAGTATGCATTTTGGAGTTGTATCGCTTTTCTATATAGTGTGGTAAAAAAATATATAAGTACGTAGTAATTACATTATTTCTGTTGCAGGTTTTCGCCCGTATTTAAATCAACGCATTGAACAGGAATCCGAAAAGATAGTTGACGAAGAGCACAATTATATAACCGAAAAACTTTTGAGCGAACGCAATAAAGAGACAGATCACAGCGGTTACAATCATAAATCTGAAGATTTAAATTTACAATCTCACATCAGAACGAGTTTCTTGCAGCCTCAGCCGAATATCCCTGATATAAGTGACCATGCTGAACACATGAGTCTATTTCAAAATGCTGAACATATTCCTAAAACACATTCAGCCTCACAAATGGTACTTAAACAACAGCAGGCAGACTTGGCCAACGCGCTACGTCATCAACTAACAAACGTACATCTCTCAGAGGTGCAACCGGAAATGTATCAAAAGGAGCACGTGGAAGGAACAAAGGAGGCAAAGTTCGCTCTCGGAAATCAAGCAGACGGTTCTCACCCCACGCATCTGGAACTTCCGAATGAAAACACCGATAAAATTAGCCCTCAGCAAGTTCACATAGATGTAGACAATGAACATAGACTACGAAACATGAAAGAGCAGATGCAAGTACCGTATCAAGAACCGCAATTGCCAGAAGTGCCAGACCGATCGTACAAATACGAAGGTATGTGATATTCACCTGATTTATTACGCTTATTAACAGAGGCGCTTATTAACGACAGTGCAACCGGTGATTCCGGTAATAGTAAGATAGTATGGCATTCTGGCGGAACCGTTGCCAACTCAGCGGTGCGTTTCGGAAAGTCGGGATTCCGAATTCTTTCACGAAATGCAAATATGGTCTTCAGCTTTCTTGTGTCGGAGAATTTCCGGAAGACCTACGTGGAGATTTCTTTTCACTTTCTTTATTTTGAGTAACATATCCTTATCAAGAATCTCCTAAGCCAATTTGCAGCTCCTCATGTCCTAACACAAATTACAATCATTCCCTCCGTCCGAATGTGGTGGATTCTTCATATGAAGATATATATCAATCTTCTTTGGTCGGGATTTTTTATCTTTTCCTGTACTTTGCATTGTCGTTATTCGCCGTCCTGAGAAGATCTAGGCAAAGACCTGAATTACTTTATTTCTTACGACCTGTTAGGATCTTCTTTCAAGCGTCTTTCTTAGGGCAGCCAAACAATGTACTGACCTACATTCCCGCCGATGACATGAGAATACCGTTCTTGGGGTGGTTTGCTATGACAGCTCCTTTGCAATTATTTCGCCTTAATTTGTGAAGATACTTTTTTCCAGCTTGAGGATACCTTCCGTACAACATTGATGAACCACTCTCCCTTCGGATTTGGATGTATTCAGCCACTGCCTGTTTCTCTGCGTGGACAGTTTCTTTATTGTGCTGAAGGCTGTGGTTTACATATCTGTAGTAGTTGTGGAGAGCGTAATGACTTGTCAGTAATTTTCTAATAAATGACCTCAGATTACCCAGCTTTGCTAGTGGTCAAGTTTTTTAGCAGTGTGTCCGATCACCGCCTCAGTTCAGGAGTCGATGCTCTGGTTGATATTACCACCATTGGTTCTGAGAAGATTACAAACTCTTAGATTGTGATCGAACAAGATGCATTTTTCAACTTGTTAGTGAAATCCGCGGCCTGCGGAAGGCATAGATGATTGTATCCCGCCTCCATAGACGTGTCGTATTTTGCCGTCTTGTCTAAAACTTGTATCCACCAGAATTCAAAAATTTTAGTTGCAGAATAATAAATATCTATAATTTGGTTCTGGACTTTTACTGTCATTGGCGCTCTTGTCTATGCTGGAATCCATTGATTCACCAACATCCGTGCTATGTTTGCTGTTGTTAACCCTGTCCCATACTTTCCGTTCATGTTGATGTCCTAAATGAACGGAATTAGTACATAATAGATTCTATTAATTTTCTCTATTTGATTCCCGAGTCAGGTCTGGAGAAGAACTGTTGTGACGAGTATTGGAACTGATTTGAAAAGCAGTGAAGAAAGCAAGTCTGTTTGGAATATCCACCGACGTATTCTGACGTTTCTGAAGTGTCTTAGCGACAATACATCTGTTTCTTAAGTGAATACATTCTTTGAGGAGCTTCATGACCTTCAGCTATTACCAAGTATTTTAAAGTTCTTTTGCTCACTTTTTGACAGTGTGATTCAGAGACTTTAGGCTTTCCTGAAGGGAATTCCCATTCGGGGGATATCCTAGTTCGTGAATTTCCGTTTTGGGTTTTGGTAGGATCACCATACGATGATCAATGGATCTTTTGTCCCTGTAGAGCCATTTTTTCTTGGAGACGTCCAGCTAGCTGAAGACTACACTTCATCTTTTATTTCATCTGTTACAGTCAATGTGAAGAACTTGATCGTATTACGCTATAGTCATTAATTCCGATAGTGAAGTGAATGTTATATCATGGGAGGTGGTTTCTTTTTCCCGCTAAAATGTGATATCTCGTGCTGACCTAAACGCAGTCTTTTTGGTGTTTCCTGTCAAGAGAGAGAGAGAGAGAGAGAGAGAGAGAGAGAGAGAGAGAGAGAGAGAGTCGTAAGAGAAAACGAATGTGATTCCTAAAGTTGAAAGAGTCACGTTTGCTACAAAATGAGATATCTTTTGTAATATTTTCCAAACATGAAATAATTTTATTTCTAATTGGGAAAGTTTACAGGATGAAGTCGTACTTTTGTTATCACAGACAAGTTGTTTTTAGATTCACTTTGAGGTTCCCTCGGACAAAATCTTCTATGGAACAAGGGGGGAGGAGGCAAAAATTAAGAGCATATTCAACAAGTAATTTATAATCTGTCTGAGACTAATTTTAAATGTTGTACATATATCATGATTTGGATTTCTCATACATTTTGTGTTAATGTTGTTTCATATTCTTCCTGTTTTTCAGATGAGGAGAGACATATTTTTAATCATAAGGGATACGGCTTGGTGGCAGAATCAGACAGGTAAGGTTTTTGAGGTCAGTTTTGTAGTAGTCAGTAAACAATATTATTTTCTGTGTAATAGTTAAAGACCAGTGATTTGTTATTGACATCCAGCTAGGGTTTGTTAAAGATTCATCTCTGTATTTCAAACATAGCACTTCAGACAAAAGAATTTACAAAGGAAGCGGTAAATAAAAAAACGCATTAGATTCATTGGTTCAATACTTTTTATATTGATGACAATCAGTAATAGATTGTACATGAACATTAGAGCATATATCGAAAGAAGCATACCCCATATATCGTAGCTAGTATTTCTGTTATCACAGAAATTTAAAATTCAACACCATTGTATGGTCGAAAATGTCTTTTCTACCGTAATTTAGTTGCCTCTTTCCTTCTTTATTCAGCTTCCCAAGCTTTTCATCGTGAAACGATCAGCAAAAGGTAGAAACAAGTTTCGGGAGTGAAAAGCAATTTAGAGAAGTGTGTGAATGAGGATTGTTTTCAACAAAATTGTTTAAATGCCTTTAAAAATAAAAAATAAAAACGTCCTTGTATTCTTGAATCGTTTCTCATTAATTAGAGTTGTGGCAGAGAGAGTTGTGGCAGCCGACGTTTCCTACTTAGGCCGCGCGCGAACGTTTTAACACAACGGACACACAGAAGAGGTCGAAGTTGCTCTGCGCCTCCTTCTCGCTTCAGGCTTGCTCGCCTTCACAAAATCCTCTTGTTTGTTAGAAATTGCTCTCAATATGTTTCTTTGGCTTTTTTATTGTGTGCAATATTTTTGTGTATTGTGTCAATACGATATTATCAATGTTCTTATTACACATTTGAAGATCTCGCCGGTCTGTGATCTAAGCACTGTACATGTTATGACACTTTTTTGCACTTAAAAAATTGGGAGAAACCGTCGCTTAGCAATTCCCTTGATTTAATAGAGAATGACATAATTCTCCAAGCAATCTATAGCTACGTCTTGGAAAGACGGAAGCCAACTATACTACATAATTTCAACTCGAGTAGGTTTCTTGTTATCTACGTTGGGGAAGAGGAAATTTTAATTTTAATGAGATATGTGAGAACCAGGAGTCCCGCGGAGACGCCTCCACGCCCAGTACGACGCCTCCACGCGAGGAGCTGTGGACGAGCAGGGGAGATCGCGGGCTCAACTCCACATAGCACTCGAGGAAGCGCATCGTCTAACCAATACTTCAGGAATGAGCGAGCCCAATCTGGAAGAAATAATCACATCCTCCCAATGACGATGAATGCTGGTCAAAATAAAAGGATGTGAATATTATTTTTCGACAGTACTTCTTAAGGTAGCAACCTTTATCCTTGAAATTATTCCTATGAAATATTTGCAATAAATAGCATTTTGCGTCGCAAGATTAAGTGTGTTCGGCGTTGAGTCACTTCATATTTCGCAAAAATTCAGTAATATCGATCTAATACTTATTTAATTGCAATGCACTGTTATGCTTATCGGATTATCTTGTTAAGAGTGGTTATCAACAACATACTATCTTCCTAAGTGAATTTTTCCTAATGTGAATATTTCCTAACTGAATTTTATCAACATTATGTCCTGTTTGCTTGAGATGCATTGTAGTGATAAGCGAAGGAACAGGTCGGTGCTAAGAAAGAAGAGGTTGTTCGAGCTGTTCCTTAAATGGGTACCTCAACAGATGCAGGTGTCAAGAGGTAAACTGTGTTAATGTTAAGAGTAAAGCAAGAAATAAGGGACGACCAGACACAGCGAAACTACTCTTAAGGATACATCTTTGGAATAATGATCAAATGCGTCATGTATCACTGGCTGTATCTTCTTTTTAATTTGACGTCTGACTACAGAAATAGGAGAAAGAAGAAATTCGACGATTCTTCCCAGTTTTACTACGTTCTTAACCTCAAGTTGAGACCAAACACTTTAAAGTTCAGGCTAATCGCAATCAGAATACCATCTTTCACACACTTTGAAATTAAGACCAAATACATTGAAATTAAAATAAAATTATTTCAAATTGAGAACAAACAAATTCATATTCATATCAAACACGTTCAAATTGAGAATAAACAGCGATAAAAAAGTCAAAACTTTTGAACATTTATTGGTTTACAGAACCTTTGAAAAAATAAACCTGAACTTTCTCTTTCTTCTCCTCCTCCTCACCATCATTATCATTCCATTCTCCTCTTTATTCCCGTTTCTTCTTCTCCACCTTCTCTTCGATCTTCTCCAACTTTCCTTTCTTCTTGCCATCTTCCACTTACCCCTTCTTTCTCCTTTTTCAACTTCCTCCTACTTCCTCTTTTTTGATTCTTCCCCGGCTTCTCTTTCTCGTTCTACTTTTTTCTATTTATTTCCTTCCTCTTTTTCTACATATTCTCCTTTTCTTCCTTTCCTTCTTCCTCTGCTTATTCTTTCTCTCCTTCCTTACCTCCACTTTGTTCTTGAGTAGTTCCTCCATGCACTCAATTTGCTTGCATCTTCATGAATTTGAATGTCTAACTTCAATCTGATTGTGGTTATTAGGGTTGGTAGCACAATCTGGGATCTGGGAATCGTGAATTATCGGCTCCGCTATCCATTATCCGTTCAGAAAATGTCCAACGGCGCACCGGGTATCAAAGAGTTTTTACGGAAATGGACAGGTGAACTTGAAGCATTAGTGCTGGTGTGGAAACGGATACCCGGGGGTGGAATAATCTGGTGTCAGAGTTGGTGACGTACCAGGAGCTGGGTGGAGGATAGCGGGAAAGAACACCCCTGGCTTCTGACAATCGAGCACCTGGGCCCTGATCGGAGCGCCGTCCTTCGTTCAGGATGATCCTCCGGCCTCTGCCGCGAGGCACCAGGTGCTGCTTGTTCAGTGAGTGGCTATGGGGATGCGTCAACCGGCACTGTCACTGTCAAAACCTTATGTGGCATGGAGGAGGAGTACAAAGGCTGGGCGTCAACGGAGGCGCCGAAAACTGATGGTTGTCGAGGTGATACACCCTAGAAAGAAATGTGCACATTGTGTGCTAGATTTTGAGGTGGCGAACTTAAATCGTAGTTTAGCGCTTCAATCATGTAGTCTTTTGGAAACGTTTCAGTTGCCTTTGGATAAATCTTCCTCTTGAAGGAGGGAAGAAACCGAAACCATTAACAAAGAGCATTCTTTCACAGGGTATGACGATGCTTTGACGTTGATAACCATTAATTCTTTGGCAACTGACAGATGAAGGAAAGAAATACATGTGAGCCTTTTCTTTATCTGACTTTCAGGACCTGTGTAGATTAATCTCGACTAGAGGTCGTGCTGAATGTCGACTTATTAAATTAATGAACTAGTAGTGCTCCGAGAGCGCATACTTTCTCGCATCATTTCGTAGTGCTCCGCTATATTATAATACTACATAAACATGCAAAAGTGGTTTCAACCAGCAAAAATTATTTTCCGCTCGAGATCTGAACTCGGATCCTCCGAGCTAACTCAACCATACCACAACGCTATTGAAGCGGCGTTAGGATCGAACATGGCCGACACTTAAAAATGTAATTGCCTCAACCCAAATTTTTCCAACATGCATTTTTTCAATTTTCGAAACTATGGAAATCTCACCGAAAATGAGATTAGCACCATATTTTTACCGCTGTTGTTACATTCGAGGAGAAAATTTAATCAAAAATTTGGTGCTTTTTTAAAAATTGCAATAATTTCAGACACAAATTACGCGAAAATAACTTGGTATTTAATAAATTGTACAGGACTTTGTTTAAGAAATTATCTGTACTTTAAATTTTGTAGTTTTGAAGTATAAACTTTTCGAAATTTTCGAAAATGAGAGTAGCACCATATCTTTTACCGTGGAGAAAATTTAAAGAACATTTGTAGGTTTTTTTGAGAAAAATGTGTAAAAAATTAAAATTTCCTATATTTCGCCCACGGTTACATGAAAACTACACAATTTTCGAAAACTTGATCATGAACCTATTTCAAGATCTTTCAAAAACACATTTCATTCAGGAAAAATATCTATCTTCAACGCAGTAGGTTTTAGCAAGGTGCCCCATAAAAATGTTTTTTTTTGTAATTTTTTTTTGTAATTTTCAAAAATTGGGATTTCAAAGAACATGATATCAGCACCATTCTCGTAAGCGCCCGGTCAAGGACAAAGTTTAATAAAAAATTGGAGCAATTGTTAGAAAATTTTGAAAATGTGTTTTAGACTTCATGTAAAGTACCCTAAAAATCAAAATATGCGATTGAAACTCGCAAAGCTGTGAATTCAGTAAGATCGTTTGGGGAATATCAATTTTGGAGAAAATCGGCTAATCGGTTTAGACATAATTACAGACGCGATGTGTTCATAACTTTTCCACTTTTGATGGCCTGACTTTGACAGAATATAACTCCTGTTTCTTTAAACTTAACATCCAACAATACATGCCGATCCCATTTCGTTGTTTCAATTGGGAAAGGCTTGATGATACTCCGCAACTTTGTATGGCAGAAGTCGCAATATGCCAACATTTCAGGAAATGCCCTTATTCATCTGTACCTCTATATAGTACACAGATATAAACTGCTTCTGACATCATACAGCTAACTGAAAGAAGTACCCCAATTTAAGCTCCGTAAAGAACATCCGAAACAGACTACTTTAAGTTAAGACGACTAGACAATGTCCCTATCAAGTTGATAAATAACTTCCGAGAGGTTGTGACAAAACACAATCAAACACGCTGATCGATAACCTTTTATATCGGCTGATTGATAACCTTTTACTAATAGGCTGTGTTTTCAGAACTCTGATTGTCAGATCTCCCCGAAGATTTTTCAAAATAGTCAACCGAATGTCTTGATACCATCGTATTCTAGTTACTCCATGTTAAGTGCGTCATGCTCGCTAATTAGTTAGAATAAGATTGTGCACTCCAAGCAATAATTATCTCAAAATGTCCCATCGTGAATTCTTAAACGATGGATTAAAAAAATCTCGTGAGATCTTAACGGATGTTGCGTCTACCTGATGGTCTTAAGTTAATTTTTGTTGCGTTCCCTCTGCCTTCCCCAAGAAAAACGACCTTCTGCCCAACATAATCTGTTTTCTGGTGGTCTTGTTATATGTAGATCTGATTTTGGTGATGTGGCGGGTTGCCCGTTTGTTCTATTAAAATGTATAGAATTCCAAGACGAGTCCCACCTTCAGACTGTGTGTGTGCAGGTCATCATTCCCTCAACTCATATTCACTTTATATAGTATATTCCAACCAGATAAAAAATCTGAGCAGATGACGGTTTCAATACCATATCTTCATTATCATTGTCGTACTAGGGAAATTCAATGTCTGCAACTTCCTGGGGGCCCCGTGAAGCATTTTGGAAACGATCGTCGATACAAGAAGGCTCACCCTGGGCTTCCAGCCCATTCGTTCACAGCCACTAGATAATTTTTTCAATCTATGTGTCTTGCACTGCCTTTCTGTTGGCCAAGCCACGGACTGGAGCGTGCTCGACGATGTGTGTGGGAGCTACTACCACCTCGCTATTCTACGCATCAATGTTCCCCTCCCTTATCCTGCGAGCAATGTCGAGCGTACTGTTGGTCTATCCGGAGAGACCTCTCAGGACGAAACTTCACCGCAACCACAATCTCCGCTGCCACCATAGCCTTTCTCACTTCAGAAGGTGAACCTAGGCCTTCCCCGGGACCATGGAAAAGCCTTGACTGCTCTAGTGCTGATAGCGCCCGAAAGAAGGCTCTAGCGTAGTTGAACCGCTGTCCCACAATTGAAAATTTGATAGAGTAAAAAAGATTCCAAGCTCGAGCTGGGGGAATTTTGTGCGTTGGTAACTCGATTTCATGGAGAGCTTTTGTTTCTCCTCTTATGTGTCGCCCATCATCGAGTGCTCTCTTACTTAACATACGTAAAATCAAGGGAACTGTGCAGCGCCTCGTCTGCTAGTAAATGGGCAACTGCAAATTACGCGAAATAACGTAATCGAGGATCTGTTCTCCTATTTTAGAATGTTAAGCTGATAGTGTTGCGTATATCATAGTGTCTATCTTTCCTTTTAGGCATCCACCCACATCAGTCGTTGCAATACAAAGCACATTCTGTGATCGCTCTTCTATTGTCCTCCTAGTCCAGAGATAAGCTCTTTCCCACGGAGGATTCGAGCGTAAAATTAAGTCACGGGTTTCTTTCGTGATGGGGAAACTTATCCACCAAGTTTGAATAATTTAGACTGATTCCATGAGACTACAAGTATTTCATAGGACTGCAACACATTTTTGTCACAACATATTTTGTATTATTTATACCATATCGAATAATATTCGCAAAATTAGGAAGTGACACTTGTTCTGCTGTGTCAAGTACAGATTTGGCATAATATGCAACAATTTGTCTATATTGCGTTGAAATGGTTCCATTGAATCAGTATGCGGGAGGAGGCATTGATAAAAGACGTTCTCTCCTTTCACTAGCCCTGTTCTAAACAAGTATGGTGTGGTTGCAATTTTACCTTGTGAAAAATGTAAAGTGAGAGTGATGTTTCAAGTAGGGGCTGTGTGAACAATATGGATTGTTTTTGTTACATATGTGATTAAGTAGTAGAGAAGTAATATTTTTCCAATCATCGAAAGTTTGTATCTAAAACACTGAATTTTATTTTATGTGAGGAACGAAAATCGTACTTGACACGAAAAATTGGCACGCATATTTCAATTCAACCCCTTAAAATTAGAATTAGAGACATGTTAAACATTGAGACGAAGAATAAAATTAATTGGCAGACCAGTGTTTCTATGAATATGAATGTAAATCTACATCTACTAAAACTAAAATTCTTGGGAATTCTCTTACAGCTCAGAAATTCCATACAAAATTGCCGTTCCTAATGTCCAGTTCAAGTTGAACAATGCCCAGAGCAATGGCTACATGAACAACATGCCTGAGTATGGAAACAAACTTCAGCGGAACATGTGGGCTGAGTCTATTCGTCCTACATCACACGGTAATTTTTTATATAGAGCATGTATTGGACATAAGGCTTAGTAGTACGGAAGCTCGTAAGTATAAAATTAATTAAATACTTCATTGCATCAGTGTAATTAACAGTCGCTTACCAATGCCATATTCGGAGAACGCCGTACGGGATGGTCAACGTTGGACCCACAATAAATTGCCATATAATTGAAGGAATATTTTATACATTTAAGAACTATTTCCACATATGTTTAGCCATAAATTTGCGATTATTTTCTACAAGTTTTTATTTCAGTTTCTGAGATACGGTAAGGTTATAATAATATAATTTAATCGATTTCAGTACTTACGGTTCTTACAGCGGGATTCGTATAGACACGTTTTTTTGAAGAATTAATTCAACATTCACAATGTATTTCCAATTACACAACTCTTATTTACATCGACGTAAACGAAAATAAGACTGCATTTTGTGTATGGACGGGTCTGACGAGAAAACAAGAAGAGTTTCCACAAAGCGATTAGGCATGACGATAGTTTCGAATTGTTTTGTGAATATTTGATAAGAACTGAAAGATGAGTTATCAAAGATTCCAATAATAAAAGTTCTAAGCGATGAAACAGTAACTTCGTGCCAAACAAATGTAGAGGAAAAACCTACGCTGGGATCCGTCGTTGGCCCCTCCGATAGTAGGCGAATGTTAAGATAGACGAACATATTGGTACATGGAAAACCATTCTTCAAGCAAATATTTCGAACTCTAAAAATTATATAATATACTATTAATACCCTGAGGAATTGAAGTTCAGTGTGAAGGAAATACAGTTTATTATATATCTGACGCCAAAAAGCGTAAAAAATTGTGTGACATACTAGGGTTAGAAGTGCAATGTCTTCACGGTTCGTGAGCTCTGGGATGTCTGCCACAAGTGCCTTTATTCAAAATTCAACTTATTAAGTTCAATTGTGAATAACGTAGAAACGAATGTTTCTGACAAGAATTGCTATGAAAATATCCACTCCGTTGTAATAAAATATTTGAAAAGTAAACCAGGTTGCGGCCATTACCCCTTGTCATGAAGGAATCGGCTTACCGCCGTCAGAATATGGAGAACGATTAGTTCAGTATCTACATTTCCCACAGAGCTCAAGATATGCACTGCTAGTACCGTTACATTTATGCTCTGAGGCCAAGGGGCCATCTCAGAATTTGCTCAAAAGATCAGGAGAACTGGATGCACAACCTGTTCGAGATGGGGGTCATTGAAACAGGAGCTGAGATACAAAACTTGTTACAGGAATATAAAGAGTTTTAGAATTATACAGTCTAAATGGTAATAAACACATTAAATATCATTGTTAAAACATTTACGATTTTCCTTTTTGATACAGAATATGGTCTCTAATTGTAGACAAACATTAATCAGCAGAAAACATTTAACTTAGCACGTAAACTTGTATATCCATTTTAATTTTTTAATATCATCTGGAAGCGTGTGGTAAAATAATTAACATGGATGTCAATTTTGTGCAGTGAGCTGTTGATGTATTGTATGTATGTCAGTATATTGACCAGGAGCGGCGAGAGAAAACCAGCGGCCCGGCGCAATTGATCCAAGATGATTTATTTCAAAGAAAAAATTCCTCCTCCCTCAATTCATTAACAGAATTTATTTCCCCTTACATCAGAAATAACTTGAAGCGTTAGAGGTGTATTAGAGATAAATGTATTTTTCATTTCTTTGGAATGCAAAAAATTCGAGGTACCATTATGTCTGGGCCTGAGGCAAATTGCCCCACCTGCCCCTCCCCTTTCTGGTCACCCCTGATATTGACATCTGATGAATATAATTATTTCGTCCAGTGTTACAGATAAAAATATGTATGTATTGCTTGAAGTTATGTCCCCGACCTTAAGTAAGTGACTTTTTTAAAAAACGATGTACTCAATAGTTACAAAATAACTTTCGTAAATCAAGAGACAAGGTAATGGTAAAATTCCTAGGCTCACAAGCACCACGTGGGTGGGGTTTGCGGATTATTCCTATTATTCTGTAACCGTGTGTTTCCGCTGAATATTATGCCATATCTCAGGCTGAAATGAACATTCACAAAATATACGCAAAGATGGATGACTAAATTTGAAAGCATTCTGAACTTATTCATAATGAACTTAATTTTGTGATCAACTCTTTAATATGGATATTAGATTTGATGTTTGACAGAAGTGAGAGACCCCAACATATTGTTACCTCAACAACAATTGCGCATCGTTCATTTTCAATGGAGTGTACAATTGTATATTTGAAATGAAAAACTGCATTGGAACCGTTTCATCTTCGTTTACTATTAATTTGTTTAAAACTCGTGAAACTAATCCGTGACCAACTTACCTTTTCAAAATGATAGTTTTATTGCAAGTTTCGAGGCTCCAAAACATTACTTCTTAATCTGGTTTATACTGTGTTCCAAACATTCTCATGTTCGAGTACATTTTCTTTTCATTTTCAAGAGATTTTACATATGAACGTTTAAACTAGAAATATTAATTATATTTAATTACTAAAATTCAGTACGCGCAGAAATTGAAAGAAAACTAGCCTTCGGCCTTGTGAACGGTGTCTTAGGTTTTGGTAGCAAATGTAAATAGTAATTTAGGCAGTAATATCAAGGAAACATTCAAGTTAAACGCGCGCGTGTATGTGCGTGTTCGTGTGTGTGTGTCCGTGCGCGCGCATGTGTGTGTGCACGATTACAATACTTCGTTATCTTACTTGTAATCGTGTTTGCTAAAAAATAAATAAAAACCTATTTTAACATTAGTTTTTCTATTTGTAAAGCAAATATTCAAAATAAAAATTTGATGAACAGAATTCACCACGCGCCCGATAACGTAAGTGAAATCAACGCGTCTGCTCTAGGGTTAAATAATCTGTCATTTCTATTAGTGTTCAGACGTATCCATTCCACATTGTTACCATGAGTTGTGATGACCACAAATAACGTCACAAAATATTTTAAAGTTCTTCTCATTATAGTATGAGTTCCATAGTTTTGCCATTGCTCATGTGTAAGGCTTTTGCAAACTTGCGTAAATACATTTCCTAAGAGACAGACACATGTCGCTTACTATATCCCGCGCTTGAAAATTTTAAAACGTTTGGAAATTAGAAGAAAATTTGTCGCCAGCTGCTCGGCAAGGAAATCTTAGTTTAAACAAACCACATGATAACTAAAAACCACACGTGAACAAATGAGTGTATTAAACAAAATGCACGTTCCCTTTGTTTTTATTTTAAAAAGCCGCTTTTTATCCCGTGGTGCTAAATTTCTATTGCTTTCTGCGGCCTCCAACTTCCTGCTCAACGTGTTACAAAAGAATTTTCTTGACACAGTAATAGAAATAAAGTGGTAGAAACTTGATATTAATGTTGAGGAAACAAGTCTTGAATTTTCTTTTGAATTGTTCTTCATTTTCAGAACTGAAAACCCTGAAGAATACTCCTCAACCCATTGAGACAAATAATGGATATCCTCTTCCTTCTGATTATATGTACAATGAGGGCCAGCATTCGATTTTGAATGCAGTTTCCCTTATCCCTCATCGATCAAATGCAGATCATTTACCAACATTGCATGCTGCATCTGGACATGTAGGATCCTTAGAGAGAACCAATATTTTGCGAGAAAATCAAGTGCGTATAGCTATAAATACGTCGTATGTCTGTAAAATCACATGATGTTGCTTTAGTTGCGAATGTTGCAGGAACATCGAGAACATTCCCATGAAAGTGTAAGTAAAATGATGAATCTGAATAATCAGAAACCAAGTGCAAGCAAACAGGACGTATTTCCAGTGCATGATAATAATAATAATAACAATAATAATAATAATGCATATGAAAAGGAGCAGCCAATAATTACTCATACGGTTGCGCCAGCACCAGTAAGAGCAACAGCATCGACGACGGCAAAATCTGATACTGCAGGTAAATACAGAATCATTTTGTTTCATTGGATCGTTGTTTTCTAATTTTCTTAAATGTTGTTTGAATTACTAAAATTTGCTTTCAGTATATTACAGATCATTGTTTAAATTAGATAAAATTAAAAAAATGTCCCTTGTGCGTCATGTTAAGTACTACCCCCAAAAATTAAAACACCCGTTTCTAATTCGAGGTTCCGCGACATCAGCCAGATTATACAGGAAATATCTATTTTGGAGAAAATCCTGTGTATGGTTTAGGTGATAGTGTTCAATGACAGATCTTGGGGAAAACAACTTTTTCGTTATCAAGGACTCACAAAACGTACATTCTGGCTACTTGTATTCGAGAAAGTAAGATTTTACATTTATGAGCATACCCGTTTCTGAATAGGTTCCTTTTCTAAAAATGGCCACTTTCAATTTGTTCTCTTTTTATTCCATCCTTGAACCTGTTTGAAATACTTTACAAAAAAGTATTAGTTTATTTTCCGTTTACTTTATTGCAATGCCAAATATTAATACTATATTTTCAACTTATTCTTCATACATAAAAGAACAGAAACACATTATCTTAATTTACTTCTCACCACTATAAGGCATAAGTTTCACGATGAAAATGTTCGAAGTTAATGCCTCTAATTCATATTTGTCAAACTTTGTGATGGGTGGGGTGGTTACTGAGGAAGAGGCCATTATTGCTGTTTTACCCGAAATAATGAATAACCAAACAAGAAGGAAACAGGGTTTATCTTCAATTATTTTGCAGTAATTTCATTTTGGTTTGTTTCAGAAGTCCCAAAGGAAAAACACGAAGGAAAGCACCACGAACATTTCGTTGGTTTGCAACAAGCATACATATCCGAACTGCCCAACGATCAACAACAAGACCGACCTAGTGGAGCATTGCTCTCCATGTCTTTCGGTAGGACTATCAATTATTAAAATGAACGTTAAAAAGTCAATTCATTTAAATGCCATGTTCTCTATGAATTCGCAGGTCTTTGCATCACTTTTGTCATGGTTGTTCTTGTGGCCTGCCGCCTACGAGTGGTAAAGCGGCGACTACGAAGAAATGGAAAATCACTTTATGCTCATGATGCTGATTATCTTGTGAATGGAATGTATCTATGAAATCTGTGTGCATAAAATGTTTATGATTTGTATACAGTCTCAAACAAAGTTATCCCTTGCGTTTTACAAAGTTTCAGTTTTTAAGTCATATGTCACTAATTGAAATGAAACACATCTGTTCAGTATCTGTGCAAAAATTACTGTAGTAATGTACGAAGATTCTCATATAGTCCATAAATGTGTAAAATATTATATATTAACGTTCATGTAATAAATGTGTGTACATTCCAGATAAAGTTAAGAACAATATTATCAGGGATGACGAACTGTATACAATTCGTTTTCATTTCAATGATTTAAAAAGTTGTTAAATTTTCCTTTTGTACGTTTTAAAATATTTTGTGTAAAATATTGAAATTTTGGCTGATTAGATATTGATAAAATTGAATTGTTTTTTAAAATCTGTATATATTTATTTCAATGATACTATGAAAACTTTATTATTCCCAAAACTACAATCAACCACACTTTTATCCTAGTTTTAACAAGTATTTGCACTTACTGCTGACATGCACTTACTGCTTCGAAATCTAAGTTAAAAATTCAATTCCAAGTTTTAAAAGACATTTTAATGACTTTTGTGGTTGGCGAATTGATTATTATGTCCGGTACTGGGCAAATTGCGCCGTGCAGAATCTCTTAAATCCACAAACGCAAATGTTTTAATACAGTGAGTATATATCATAGACTTTCCATGTTCTTCGATTTTTAGGTTCATTGAACTTCCCGCAGGAGCCCCGGGCCGAGGTCTTTAAGGATCCCGCTGAAGCTGTCAGGAACTGATTGTCTTTGGGCGGAGGTGTAACCGGGCACGTGCCCCGCAACATGTCGAGCAAGGGCCGCATGGATTCATTACTAGCAAACCCGTGCAAAAACTCACGCATGCGGATACCCATTTCCTCCACATTCATATGAAAGAAAAACAAGTTTCATATCACATAAATTCAAAATTCCACACGTCTCTGCTACGAAGCTACTCTGCTCCTCTGTCGTCTCCTTGCTACGAATTGGGGCGACCGGAGGAGATGAACCCTCCAAAATTATCATTTTTCAGATTAGTGTGTGTGTTCAGTGTGTGACGAAACACAAAGTTAATTCAACTCTGTTTCTTTTGTTTCAACAAATGTTTCGCCACGCTTGACAAAAAAACGAACTCTGTACCTTCGGTTTCTTAAAACGCTTAAAAGAAAGTAGCCAACTACGTACGTTTACAATATGCATTTGTGTTTTTATTAATTCGAAATGTATTTATTTTGTATTCCAGCATTATAAAATAACATTTTCTGTTGCAAGAAATAGTTCATAATCGGGCATTTTACAGCACAAATGATGACGTATTAAATTTTGTCACGAATGATCGCGTCATCACTCATTCAGCCAATCGTAGCAAGAGAATCGGGGGGAGGTAGAGCTAAACAGAAAAGCCGACCATCGTTTATTCGCATGATGTCAGATACCCGAGTCGTCACAGGTAAATTGTTTCGCAAAATTAAGTTTGATTCTGTTATAAATGTATAATGCTGTTATACAACAAAATATAGTATGCAACTCGTTTATAATGTTGCTTTATTACATTCGTACAAATTTGAAAACTCGCTCCTATAGTCGCTCGTTTTCACATGTACTCATGGAATAAAGCTTAACATTATAAACTAATTGCATAAACTACTATTTTATTGCAACTCACTTCAAAATATAAGAGAATGAGGTTATAATATTAAATTAACACACTTTTTATGAATGAATCACTGCACAGCAATGCGTTCGTTTCACGCGCTAGCGAAGAACTATTTTATTGGAAGGGTTGAGAGCTCTTTTCAGTCGCAAGATATTTCACACTTCCTTCGTTCAATTTCACACTATTTCTCCTACAAGCTTGTGATAGCTGAGTGTTATATCTTCAAGACCTGTGTAGGCAATTGCTGAGATCGCCACTGACTTCGCCGAATAAGCCCACAAAGCTACTGTTGTTTCCGCTTTCCCCACCAGCCCCGCGGAAACCAACGACGCACTCTACTCGTTCGCAATTTCAAAGTGTGCGCCGGCTGGTTTCCACGAAGGGCACGGACGGCGGACTGTCAATCGCTGCTTCTGAACGGCGCGTGTTTGAAAATTGCATGTTTCGAAAACGTTTTCCATGTATTTCCCTCTTGTTTAGAGATATCTAAGAGAAAATGCACCGAATTAATTTGGGTGTGCACATGCGAACGTGCGAATAGGCACGAGTCGCCACTGTTTCTCATTAAATAATATACTTTTCGAATTTAAGAATTCTTTACTTGTGTCGATGTTGACGATTACCAACTGATTTATAAGATCATATTATTCAAATAATAATACAAGCACACACAGTTTGTTCGAAATGAAATGGAAAATGGATAAGAAATATGAATTCTAGATAAATTAGAAACAAAATCAGAATTTATTTAAGATATTCATAAGTGATTCGATTTCATTATTTATTAGTTTGCTGAAGATCATTTACAGTTTTGGTGAAATTGTTTAAAACAACATTCGCAAACATTTCAAGCACTTTTTCTGTAAACAGAAAGGCAACTAGTCCCTCACACTTCAATATTCATTAATCAATGAATTTACACTAAACATTAGCAGATAACTTTGAAGTGAAATTTATTTTTTTATGTTAAAGAAAATTCTTTTTATCTTTCTATTATCACACATGTATTCAAATAAATGTTAACATATTATTAAACATATGTATATATTATTTAACTTTTCCGATAGATAACTCTTCACATAGCAAGAGTGATATACAAATTTCCAGCTGTCACACTTTTACTTTCTAATACTAAAAAATCGCAATGGGCTAGTGTTCATTTTATTCAAAACTTTGTTACTTGCTACATCACTTACATAAAACAATATAAACGATATCAGCAGGTTTTTGGGAGCTAATGAATTTCACTTACTGGCTCTAAATAAATAAGACATATGATGAATTAGCGTGAGCTCGATTTTTGTTTTCAAAACTTGAAGACGGATGTTGGGTTTGGGGCTGTAATTGGGATTTCTTAACGAAATAATTTTCTACGACAAGGAGTTTTTAAAATTTGCTTTTTATGCTGTAGCCCATATCTCACTGTCATACATTGCTGTGCTTTTGAGCCTTGTAGCCATGTTTTACAGCCTTGTAAACATGTAATTTTGATTTATTTCTGAGTTCCCTTGATCTATACAGGGGTAGACGGCGCTTTATCCTCTGAAACATGATTGATCTGTAACGATTATCCGCGGTGAATAAAAACTCACAGGTAATATTTACCAAAGACTAAATTACTTTATTTGCTTACACTAAAGATACTTTATTTATTTACAGATATATTACACAGTTCTTGTGTTCTTCACTTGATTATTTTCCTTACACACGACTCCGTTCTCTTGATTATCTATTTACACAATTCACTTCTGATTATTTATTTACACTGTTCAATTCTTCTACACTATCGCACAGTCCGATGGACTGTCCACCCCCAAATATGTGGAAGGTAGCAAAGGCTGAGACAGACATAGAAGATGATCTTCCATTGTTGTTTATGATATTCTCTTAGCTTCACTTGTAGTGTCCTTCTTGCTTTAAGAAATTGTTTATCTTCGGAGACTCTTGTCATGTAGTAACATATTTGAGCTCTGCGGCGTTCCTGATCAGGTTAATAATTTTTAAGGGAAGTCTACTGTGATTGTTAGATCCCTCCCGACTTGATATATACTCTTTGGATTTTATGATGAATGATATTATTTTGTCGTTTTGGTCGTTGATCGCTGAGACCACTTGTTGTTCACTTTCTAACTGCAGAGTGGAGGGTAAATGAGAGGAGGCCAATATGTTTTTAATTCACATTTTATTTTGGAAAAAGACGAAGAGACTTATGAAAAATGATAAGTTTCAGTACGGTTAGGACAGTTAAATGATCGGATGAAAGTTCTTACAGTGAATACTGTGGGGACTGTGGGACCCACGTCGTTGGTATGGATGTTGAAATCTAAGGTTTGATGTGGTATATATTGATAAAAATACTTCGAAGTTGGGGGTGGAGTTACTTGGAAATTGATGTTGAATTCTATGTAGAAATTTGTATTCTAATAAAGAATATTTTCTGGCGTATCATTAGTAGAACTCCCCCATTCCACTGTCTTATTGTTAAATAACTGTAATAAATTCCACTGTCTTGTTGTTGTCTCCCGCTATAATATGAGATTTACCCAATTGTAATAGTTTGGTCATATCACTTGCTCTCATGTCTATAGTTAGCGGTATATATTCTGATGAAAAGGTAATCGATCTGTGCGCAGTGCATAGTTCCATAACAGTGGCCTCGAAGGAATCTGATATGAAAAAGAGTTTTCTTAATGGCTATTGCAGTGCCACCTCATGTGTATGTCGGTCGCCTCTGTAAATAGGAAAATTAAATCGTTTATTGTGTTTTAACATGGTCTCCTGTAGTAGTAAGATTTGTGGTGAGTAGTCATTTATAAACTGTATTAGTTCTGCTCTTTTCTCTTGCGAACCTTCTCCTGTATTTCAGGTTAAAACTGGATTTTTTCCTTTGAGTATTGAGCCATTAGATTTTAAGATTTGATAATAAGATGTTGGTAATTATTACTTTTATTCTATGTATGTAGGTTGGTAGTGGGGGAGAAGGAGAAGAGTTATGGGTTGATCAGTGTGTCCAGTAGTTATTGTCTCATGGAAGAACGATATGAATAAAGGAAGAAATTTAAAACTGGTTTATGATTGTTTCAATAAAGGTAAACATGGCGAACTCGTAGTCAGTGGAAAATAAGGAAGAGAAGCGGGTAGCTACAGTTAAAATAGAGTCATATTTTACAAATTTAAAATTTTATTTTCTCAAAAACTGTTAATCTTTTCTTAACCAAACTCTGCAATTATAAAGATTAACACATAATTCCAAAAATACATATTTAAAAAAAAATTAAATATGTTAATTTGCCATACAAAATGTCGGCTACAAACTTGTTGCTGCACTTAGTGTTTTAATGATTAAAAACATAGTTTTTTAAAATTTTGCTGAAATTCTTATTTACACCTGTGGAAATATACATTGGCTACAATTTAAACCAACAGTAGGAATGATTGTACATGAATTAGTATTTTTATTTGTTTTTATTTCAGACGGATGGAATTATATTATATTTTCACCTATAATTAATTTATTATTTCTGAACTGTGGAGAATGACAATGTTGAAAAAGGTTCAATCTGTAGCTATAAGTATCTTGAATATATCCTGAAAATTTGAGAGAGATCACAACATTAGAAAAAAAGTTATTCTTAAAACCAATATAAAAATTTACTTTTTCAGATAATTAAGTTTAAAGATTGAGTAACATGTTCCATTACCTCTGAATTTTTTCTGACCCTTAAAATGCACCAGGAGCATAGGAAACTTCTTCTGGTTCTTGTTTCTTAGCTTCTTCTAGTAATTTTAATTTTTTTCTGGATTTTCTTGCCTCTTTTGTTGCCTGGGATGCTCTTTTTTCAGCAGATCTAATTCTAGCGCAGCCTTCATTCTTCAAAGCATTGCTCATATTTTTGCCTACAGGTATCTGAAATCTTTCCAAAACTTTTAATCTCCCCATCATTCCATCATTGAAAGTAATAATTGCATCATTTGTTCCAATGTCCACAATTCTCTTTCCAAAAAATCCTGTCTTGGGGCAAATTTTCCAAATTTTGGAATGAAATGATTCATTGGCATTTTGCGTGTAACCACCAACACATTTTGAAAGGAGCTTTGTGTTACATAAATCTTGAAACACAGGTTTAATGGCTTCCATAATTCCTAATAGGATATTATTTTTGTGCTTATAATTTGCTAATGCACCTCACTGCTTTGCACGTTGATACGGGCACCAAGACTTTTCTCCTTTGGGACATGCATTATGCATTGGCTTTTCATCACTGGATGCTTTGTGAAACCATATGGACCAAACATCTTTTTGCATGTATTTCACTGATGAGCTGTTATCTCTAATTGCATTCCCATAATATGTGCTGAGGGTGTTAATTACAGCATCTGTAAGTCTGTTTTTTGCTGATATTTTTTTCCCATCAGTGAGGGTTTTCCCTTTATATTCTTCCTTCATTTTTCTCAGTATTGTGCCCATCCGTTTCTGCACATGCCCTACACATTCTAATTTTGTAATAGGAAGATTTGATCTATATGGTTTCAAGTCTACCATAGCTTTGAAAGTCCTTGCATCACCATCTCCAATAAAATTAATGGACTTGGTTCTATGTTTCACCTCTGACCTCAAAAAAATTTTCTTAATTCCTTGAAGTTCCATTTTTTCAGAGTTTTCGGAATGGCTTAAATGGCAAACATCAGTATGACTCTCCATCCATTCTATATATTCATTTTCTCTTTCTTGGTTTTCCAAAATTTACATGATTTACAGTTTACTGAGAGCACTTCAGTATCTAACACTTTCCCTGATTTTAAACCTATGACAGCAGAGACACCGTGCTGGGATGTGTGACCCCTCGTTAACCACGATCCATCACATGATACATGATACCTTACTATTTGTAAGTGATTTTTCTTCACTTGCTGCTTTCATCATTGATTCTTGTGCAACTGAATTGGTTGCACTATGAATTTTATCTACTAAAATGTTGTAAGTGGAATATTTTACTAGTGAAGGAAAGTTCATCATAGCACAAAACTGCTTAACGCCTGGTAAATCCCTGCCCTATACACCTCATGGCATAAATAATTTGCCTGTTTATCAAATAAACTCTTTTCTTTGCCACTAACATCACACTATTCCCAATGTACCCAATGTTATCACAATTCTCACACAATATATCAACTTTACAACCTAATCCTAACACAGACATAATTAAATTAATATTTCCACCACATATATTACATCGAAGACAACGTTTTATTTCACAAAACAGCAGGTCTACGTCGAAAATCATATTCCCTAGATTTTTAGTTTCCGAGGGTATCACTGTAGGTTCGCTGAGTTTTCTTGAAGAAGCACTTGTATTTAAACGTGAATTATTAGTTTGTGCCTGTTCTTTTGTAAACTGATTGTTAGAAAACTCTTCTTGGTGTAATACGTTGCTTTTCTCTTTCCCATCTTGAAACACACCAAAAACAATACTAACACGCGCTATACAATCGCAAACACAGGAAAAAACACAAACATCTGTTATATCACGGCCTGCTATGCTCTTCTGTTATTTCAGTATGAGAAAATTCTGTTCCAAATGCACAAGAGTGTATGAGAAATTTACCGCGCCAAATTCAAATAGATTCAATGTAAATTAAATAGTAAGTAGTGTGTCGTCAGTGTTCAACAGTGGGCGTGGCATGTGCCAGTATTTAAATACCTGTCAGGCGCGCAGCGCGTAGATTAAACCTTCCTAACTTCTAAACTAAAGGAGATATAAATATACTGTTTTCACTGAAATTAAGATCAATATATACACTTTTCAAACAAATAAAAAACACAAAATTCGATTTTTCGAACCCTGATAACTGTAACTACTCCCTTAAGACGCGAAAGAATAATAAATGTACAACTCAACTCAATATTATGATAAATTTACACTACACTACATCAATAGTATTAATGGCTTAACCCCCCCCACTTTTTTCTTTCTCCTGTTTTCTAGAATGTTAAATATATTTTCCAAAAAAATTGTAAATTTATTTGTAACCTTTATCATAATCTTGTTGTTAATGTTTTGTTTTGTTTTTTCTTCTTGTATCAGACAACTGATGATGATGGCTAAGCCATCGAAAGCTGCTATTGCATTAAATAATATTGTTGGCAATGACGTCTTTAATTATTTTGTGAAAAATGCCAAAGATATCACACCACAACACCTATAGGTCATCATGAAGCTGAGGATGCAATAAAGCTGCGTTAGTAAGAAATCTCATGGGTACGGAAGCTTGTGAAATTCTTATGACTCAACTCAACTCAATTCAATGACTCAACCTGAAAGAGAAGTGTACATGGTAATACATAATATTGAGAACTATGTAAAGCTTAGACAAACAGAAACATGAGCGTTTTGTGTTTACGGAACGGAAACAAGAAGGCGTATTTATTAGGCTGTCCGAGTGACGCCGCGACCATGGCGAAGGTGCCGACATTTCGGTCGCCATTCTGCGATCTTCCTCTGTGCGTAATGAACGAAGATGTACTGCGCACGAGTTAAAACAGGACTCCATTTGTCCTCTACCCGTGTGCCGGTTGGCCAGCTGCGGAGAGAGTGCTCCGGCCAATCAGGGGCGGGCTCCCCGCGGGGTGAGTGAAGGTGTTCCGACCGTAATTTTTTTTCCAGTTACCCTGGAGAGGCGGGACTTTATTTCACTTTCGGAATACATTATTTTCAACTGCAGCCGATTTAGCGTGTGCAGTTAGGGAGGGCTTTTTACTTACGACTAACTAAAACTATCTTATAAATATATACATTCCCGCTTTGGGGGTTCATAGTTTTTGACTTTTTTACATTTAATTATTTAACTTGAGTTCTTTGCATTGTTCTATTTTCTTCTTTTCTTTTGTATCTATTCACACTTGCATTCACACTTATATTTTATTTATGTTTACAAACGCATTTGTTCATTCATTCATACAACACGCAACACTTAACAACACTATATACACTTATATGCACGCCACGGCGCCGGCTTTACTCAAGCGTCCGTGGCGCCGCGACGTCTTCGGTTTCCAGCGACGCTTGACCAGCGGAGCGCGCATCCGAGCGGTTTCCGGCATCCGTGAGCGGCGATCCCCTGCCACGCACTTGCTGCTCCCCCGCGCCGCAGAGCTCAGAGAGCTTGTGCGGGGGCAGTGCACGGAAGGTGAAGGCGCCGTGTTGTGGGCCCTTTCTTCTGTGGAAGGCCTTGTGCACGCCGCTGTTCTCCGCCCTTCCTGTGTCGCGCAAGATGCGCGGGGCGGACGGCCTCAGAGCCCTTGCGAGCGCCGTCTCCGCCCTCTTTTGTAGCTCCGCTAGGAACTGGTTGCGAACGCCTAAGATTCTGAAGATGTCAGCGTTTTGGGGATGTCGGTCAGGTTTGGTAAGAGGCAAATGCGGGTGCGCTGCGAGGCGCGCCGCTCTGTTCTCTGCTGCCCGGATGGGGTGCAGAGTAGAGGGAGAAGCGGCCGCGAATACCTCACATGCGTACGCCAAGGGACGCACGCAAGCAGTGAATAAGCGGCGAAGGAATAAGGAATTGCGAAGTCGGGACAACGGAGAAGATGTTTCAAAAGAAGGGTGCGAGTTTTAATTATGGCAGCGAGATACCGAGCGCGCGCATGCCAGCGAAGGCCGCAGTCAAGTAGCACGCCCAAATATCTCGCTTCGCTCTGCCAAGGTAGATGCGTGCCAGCCAAGCTCACCGTTTCATTGGGGTCCGTCCGTAATCGGACGATGCGGAGCAGCTAGGACCGCGTCCGGTCGAGATCGAACGTTCTGGTAAAATCGGTGTTTCCAGGCATCGTGTCGACGTATGCCTTGGTCAGCATTAAAGTTGTGAGGGTGTTTGGTAACTTCCACCGCCCCTTTTACCCTCCTCTTGCCCCAGCGGTCTTCTCTGGCTAAGAGGCGCGTGTCATCAAATAGAATAGCGTGGCCAGTTTTCCATGCGTACAGGGCTACGGCCGATTTATTCGTATAATTGTATTTATAATGACGAATATGTTCCCGGAGGTGTTCCTCTACGGTACGTCCCGTCTCGCCAATGTAACTATGGCCGCAGCTGCGTGGGATCTCGTATACCCCTGATGACATAAGCGGAGGGACTCGATCTTTCTCGCGTACAAGCTTTTGCCCGAGTTTTGCCTTGACTTTGTAGGCCGTCTTTATATCAAAGCGGCTCAGAAGCTAGCCATTCATATCCGTGACACCTCGTATATACGGTAGAGAGGCTATTTTATGGTTGGTATCGCCTCTAGGTGTGGTGATAACAGCAGTCGGGGGTCGTAAACTGCCCTACCGCTTGGTTGGCCGTGTTAGCGCTGTATCCGTTGGCTCGAAATGTGATCTGTGATAGGAACTCCATTTCAGAGTCCAACGATTCTTTATCACACACTCTAGTTGCTCTGATGGCCAGAGTTTTCAACCCCCCCCCCGTTTTGTTGCCGGGTGATGGTGAGAGCCGGCGTATAGATAGCGGGTTGTGTGGGTGGGTTTCCGGTTAACACTGTCCTAGTCTGCCGTTCGCTTTCACACTCACCAGCACGTCGAGGAAAGGCAATTTTCCCTCATTTTCCACCTCCATCTTGAACTTAATCTTAGGGTGTGTGTTATTAAGGTGCTGGAGTAAGGCAGCTAAGGTGTGAGGACCGTGGAGCCACACTACTACTGAATCGTCCACGTACCGGAGCCATACAGTTGGTTTTAGAGGGCCATTCTCCAGGGCTTCCGTTTCGAAGGTCTCCATGAAAAGGTTAGCCACAACCGGAAAGAGGGGGAACCCATGGCCGCCCCTTCAACTTGAGCATATAGTTGCTCACGGTACTGAAAGAAAGTGGACGTGACACAACTCAGCTACGTCGGCCCATTCCGAAGTGAGCTCACGGGAGCAAAGTTTACTGCGAATGACAGTGGCCGCCTCGTCCACCGGAACCATTGTGAACAGAGACGTGACATCGAAGCTGACGAGGATGCCTGAGTCATTTACACGATTCTCCTTAAGAATGTCAATAAGGTGGGTCGAATTCCTGACAGCTGACTTGATATCGCCAGTTAATGGCTGCAATTTGTCGGCCACATAGCGGGAGAGAGGGTGGGTGGGAGAGTTAATAGCGCTCACAATGGAGCGCAGTGGCACGTCCTATCTTAGGGAGACCATAAATCCCAGGGATACAGTGGTTGCCACGTTTTAGCCTAGGTTTGGCCTCCGGCTCTATAGCAGCCGAGTTATTTGCCCGTGCCGCGACCTCTCCCCTCAGCTTTCGTACGGGGTTGCTTTTAAGGACAGTATAGGCCTGATCTGTCAGCAACACCTCAACTTTAGAATGGTAGTCTATGGTTGTCATGACCACCGTGGCATTGCCTTTGTCTGCGGGTACTACGTCGAGGTCCTCGCGCTTGCGTAGTTCGCGCAATGCTACACGTTCCTCGCGTGGCAATTTAGAATGGGCCAGAAGACGAGCCGATTCTCTGCGAATATAGTCATTCTGGTCGGCAGGCAGTTTCGATACCGCGTTTTCCGCCCCTGCCACTATATCCGCGGTAGGAACGCGATCGGGCACGGGGGCGAAATTGAGACCTTTGCTCAATACAGACATAGTAGCTTCGTTGAACTGTTGATCAGTTA